GGGGGGGGGAATAGCTCAGGTCTTACGTGCAACAACAAACAGAAAAGATGGGGGGGGGGGGGGTAGCTCAGGTCTTACGTGCAACAACAAACACAAAAGATTGGGGGAAGGGGGGGGGATGGCTCAGGTCTTACGTGCAACAACAAACAGAAAAGATTGGGGGGGGGGGGTGGCTCAGGTCTTACGTGGAACAACAAACACAGAAGATGGGAAAAGGGGGGGGGGGGCTCATTAGGCTCCATTTCATCATGCACAGAAATGATCTTGCAATAAATTATTATATTTATGTGCTATTCAACACATGTTTTGTATTATTATTATTATTATTATAATATTATTAATCATCAGGGGGTCTTATGAAATCCCGAACTCAATTTCTCTTCTGTTGAGGTACTTGGAAAAAAAAGGTGGGGGGGGGGGGGGGGTTGGTCTAGCGTTTGAGCTCCTCAAGTTGCGATGTCTATGTTAACATCCCAAGGATGAGAATCATACAGGAACAAATCTCAGAAATCCCATTTAACCGATAACACAGGTATATTTGAGCTCCCCACGGTTAGAAAGTAACTTAAAAGTCAGTTCTGCACACTCCCCGTGTGGGTTCCGGGGCTCCATTGTGGGGAAAACAAGAATAGACCCACTGCCTACCCAAAAGCGTTTCGTAAGAGTCGACTAATTGGGGAGCTTCCTTTGGAAGTCGGAGTGCATCTGCCTGAAAGGCAAGGAACAAACAGTCTGCATTCAAGTGAGTCGGATTTGTAAAACTGATGCACATGCAACACTCAGGTTCTGGAGCAGGACTGCAGTTCAGAAGTGGACGAACAACCAGAACTTTCCATCAGAGTGTACAGCTGGTGAACGCGAAGAAGAAGGAGAAGTTCTGCACAACTTGGTGGTGAATTGATGTATGACAAGCTAGACGTGGTATCCTAGTCATCCGCTTGTTCGTTACTCTAAGCCCCACTCTGGCTTTTGTCTGCGGCCCTGAATATAACTGGGTCACAATTGTGTCCATAACGGCTGAAAGGGGGTTTCTGCGACCTCTCCACGGGTGATCCTCATCTGCATTGTGGTACTTTGTGTCACCGGGTGTTTATCGCTTGTGTGGATGTCCTGTGGGGTACAAAAGCAAGCAAGGCAAACTAGATATGGTGACGGCCCTTTGGAAGCGAGTGAACAGTACGCAGGCACAAATAGATCATGACTATCTATCAGGGGGGCTGCGTTGTCTCGAGGCATGGTGACCACCTCGAGTGCTAGAGGTTCCGGTTTTAATCCCCGGTAAGGGCTGGGATTTTTTTCACGTGGACTTGGACTTCTAGTATTCCCCCTGCTCTCTGGGTAGTGAGATCGTGTGTATTGTTGCGCACGTAAAACAACCCTTGGCGGTTGGAAATTGAAAAAAGTAGCCTAACGTCGCTGCCCGGCCAAAAATGTAGAGTTGAAAATCTACCCAAAGTATTTCAGGATCCCGCCGGTGCTACAGAGCCTGTGCACTGTCCTGAACTTCTTCGGACTCAGATTTGAGTTAGAAGAAAGAACGGAGCACTACCCGTGTACCATGATGTTGATCCGTTGTTCAAACCTAAAACCTTATCCATCATAGACAACCCCACCCCTTGAGATTGTATAGGAATTAGGAATTAGGCCGAAACAGTTATTGTAGAGGGAACTCGCCAACTGATGATCGTTAGATTCTAGCTGCGCATGTTCCCGTTGTAGCGGTTTTTTAAAATTGGGTGTCTGTGTAGAATGGCGCTGCGAGGAGTTACCAGGGAATCTGGCCGACGCGCAACACTCAAGAGAAGGACGAGACGGATATACAATCAGACAGTTACAGGTGCCATCGGAATTGGAACTCTTCGCTTGCTGCTGAAGACGGAGACGGAGCGTTTATGTGAGTGTCCCGAGTGGTGTAATGTCGATTTTTAATTCATCATTCATTCAACATTCATTAAATCATTTATTCTGGAGTCAACATTTGGGGTTCTGGGGGGAGGGAATGGGGGTGTATGCATGATGACGTTCTTATATCGATCGACGTGTTCGATCTGAAGATTTTCCAATCAGTCAATAAGCGGGTTCTTTGTAGAACGTAGCGCTCTTTATGACACGCTTGAAGATATCTTTTTCGCTGACCAAATTTCCAGCCCTGTGTGCTTTTATAGTCAGTATATCTTTAATATCCTGTATCCACATCCACGAAGGTCGGCCTCTGTTGGTTTTCCTGAAATTGAACCCTCCAACATCGCTGTCTCTAGACCACCATAGCTCTTGATATGACCAAAATACCCTAGCTTCCGGGAGAGGATGCTGTTTATGAGCCAATTTCCTTTCAGGTCATGCAGGATGTCGATGGTTTTTTTTTCTCGGTCCATGGTATTCAAAGAATTTTTCTGTAACCTTTCTGTTGAAAATTTCGCTGACGCTTTAAAGATGGAAGAATGTCTTGGCCCTTACCCCAGAGAAGGCCTTGGTCCAAGGTTACTATCCCTATGTTGCTTCTGGCAAGATGCATGATCTCAAATTGCGTACTTCAACTTGCTTGCAGGGACCATGTCATTGGTTCTTCCCGCTGTTTAGTTCCTGCATTGCTCATGTAAGTCCTTTTCTGACTTCTTTTGTGCAGCGAAGGTTCGCCACACACACAGATAAATACAATCTCAATGTAGATATTAGAACAGCAAGGCAGAGCCCGAATACCTGTTCAACCTCCAAATTACTTATAATTAGTGCAGCCACAGAAGGCGCCGTTGCGTAGCAGCTAGGCGCTCGCGTGAGACTCGGTAGGTTGTGGGTTCGATACCTGGCAAGGGCAGACTTTAAAAAAAATTACTGGGTACCGGGTGCAGTCACTGGAAGTATAGGCGGCCGGCTTGATGCTGACCTCATCCCCCATCTTGTGTTGACTAGTCTATAAAAATATAGGTCTAGCCCTATGTGCCCTATACTCCTAAAGGCGAGGAAAAGGGACCTTTACTTACTACTTTTACTAGTACAACCACACCGGCTGTACCAGCCCTAGATAACGTGTAGTCCTGTGCGGGTAAGGACGATTATCTTATTTTCTTCTTCGCCTTCACCGATGTTTGAAAATGGCTGTGAATAAAACCAGAAGAAATCGAGTGAGAAACGGCTTGATCACAAGAACTGTTGGAACCACACACATCGTCAAATTTACTAAAAAAACAAAGAATGAAATGGTTGAGTTGAGTTGAGTTGAGTTGAGTCAAGAATTGACATCACAGTACTCGGGGCATTCCCATGCAGGCTCCGTCCTCATCTTCAGCAGCCAACGCAGAGTTCCATTACCGATGGTACCGGTCACAATCTGGTTAAAAGTCCGTCTTGCCTTTCCTCTGAGTATAGTGAGCCGGCCAGACCCCCTGGTTACACCCAGATGCCTCATTCTCTCCAGACCATAATAATCTTCTTTCTCTAGTGATTCTGTTGCTTGTTCCCAAAGGGCCTTCACCACATCTGTCTTGTAATGTATCAATTCACCATTCAATGGTGCGGATCCAACCAATCTGTCTGCCTGTTAATTACCCACCACGATGGTATAGCCTGGAGAAAAGATCCAAAGTATGCTTACCACCCGTGACCTTTCCAGTGAAGCTCACCACTCTGCTCTAAGCATCCCTGTCTTCACCTTTGGCAGCATGTTTTCAGAGTCTGTTACAATTACGACATGTGTATACATCTTGTTCATTACCCACCGGAGAGCTGCAGTTACCTCCTCCACCTCCATTCTCATGCTAAATGTTGTGTTGTCATATGCTAGGCTGTCTTGCACTAAAGATTTTCCATTTACTTTCGCTATGAACCCCCAGGCACTTCTCTTTCATCTCAACACTGAACCATCTGTATAGATAATCAGATCACCGTGAATTGTCGTGAATCAACTGTTGGACTTCAACCTCCGTAGCACCCTCTGGCCACTCTCTGCACTCCCAGCCCAATGTTATCATAACCCTACACAGGTCAGACCCACTCCTCTTCTCGCCCAATTTTCTCCAGCATGCATACTTGTCTCATTGTGTCTTCTGCTTGAGCTATCCACGATTTTCCTATTTTCAGCCTCTGACCCTTGCCTGCAGCCAAAGCTTCATACAGAGCGTGTTTCCTGTCTGCAGCAACTCTGAGGTATGACCTAGCCTGCAGCCCGAGCCCCTTTAGCCTATCTGCAATAGTCGGCAATACAAGGATGCATCGTATGCACACAATCGGGGTGTCTCTTGTACATCCCAGGATCACCGCATAGCTTCATTCTGTATGCGCTCCAGTTTCTCTAGCTGACTCTTTGAGACAGTGAGTAAACCCGACCCATAATCAATCACTGAGATGATTAAATTCTGGTAAAGTGTGAACAGCATTCTCTGCTCCATGTCCATCTCTGCCATAATCTTTAGCGCGTTTAGACCTTTTTGAGCCCTTGTCACAACCCCTCTATGTGATCCCTGAAAGAAAAACTTCTGTCAAAGGTGATTCCCAGGTACCGCAGTCTGTTGTGTCTTTTTTGATGTCCCTGCCATTTATTTTGTATGGGGGGGGGGGGGGGGGGGATAATAAGTGTATTCTTGTTACCCCCCCCTTCCTCTTTAAGAACCCTAGGACCCACACGGGGGGTCCCTAATATAGTAAAATAAAGGGACTCTTATCCACGCCTTTCAGGCGTATTGGGTATATAGGGCTAGACCAATAATTTCTAGAATAAACGACACTTTGTGGTTGATGTGGTCAGCATCACGCAGGTCGCCGTTACTTCCCAGGACTGTATCTCATCTGGTACACACTCAAGGCTGGGCTGACCTGGAAGCCAAGGTCATTTAAAAAAAAAACAAAATGTCCGGCCTCCCTCAGGAACCGAACCCATGACCTTCTGATCCGCAGGCGGGGGTCAATAAAACCGTTATTTATTTATTCTTGAAGTATTCTTGGAAAGGTCAACAGGAAATGACACCGACTAGCGGTGCGCATGCGTGAATTCTGTAAACATAAAGATGGCTACAGTTGAGGAAGTGGTCTATCATGGAACTTGGAGGGTTAGTTTAGGTTTCTCTCTGCTTCATCTATCTTGTCAGTCTTTGCCGGTGCCTGTTGTTTTCATATTGAATAATGAACTGATTAGTATATTGGCCCTGCGGTTGTTGAGTATGCCGAAGGATATTTTTGTGAAAATGTTAAAACAAAAATCGATCGCAATGATTCCCATTGAAAAATAAAAATAAAGCAAAACATTTCCGTCTGCTGTTTTTCATCACTCCGAAATTTCTGGGAACAATTAATGCAGCATTGGTGATTTTGAGTTTCCAAAGTCAGTTCTTGGTGTTTATATTTATGTTTTTACCGCACTGATAATATGTACGGATAATATATAAATATACAACCAGAAAAATGATGATCATCGACCTAATCCTAATCTTAAACCTATAAATGCGTGAACCATTATTTAATAATCACATCCACCTGTCATGTCATTTAATGTGTGACAACATGCTAATCTCTCCCACTTATCATTGACTGTGTGATCTGTTAATATTTCCCACTTGTCATTGAATGTGTGACCTACTAATCTCTCCCACTTATCATTGAATGCGTGATCTGTTAATCTTTCCCACTTGTCATTGTATGTGTGATCTGTTAATCTCTCCCATCTATCATTGAATGTGTGACCTACTAATCTCTCCCACTTATCATTGAATGCGTGATCTGTTAATCTTTCCCACTTGTCATTGTATGCATGACCTGTTAATCTCTCCCATCATTGAATGTGTGATTTGTTAATCTCTCCCACTTGTCATTGAATGTGTGACCTACAAATCTCTCCCACTTATAATTGAATGTGTAACCTGTTCATCTCTCCCACCTGTCAACTAAATGTGTGATATGGTAATCTCTCCCATCTATCATTGAATGTGTGATTTGTCAATCTCTCCCATCTATCATTGAATGTGTGATTTGCCAATCTCTCCCATCTATCATTGAATGTGTGATTTGTCAATATCTCCCATCTATCATTGAATGTGTGATTTGTCAATTTCTCCCATCTATCATTGAATGTGTGATTTGTCAATCTCTCCCACCTATCATTGAATGTGTGATTTGTCAATCTCTTCCACTTATCATTAAATGTGTGATTTGTCAATCTCTCCCACTTATTGAATGTGTAATTTGTCAATCTCTCCCACGTATCATTAAATGTGTGATTTGTCAATCTCTCCCACGTATCATTGAATGTGTGACATGTTAATATCTCCCACTTATCATTGAATGTGTGATTTGTCAATCTCTCCCATCTATCATTGAATGTGTGATTTGTTAATCTCAAGCTTATCATTGAATGTGTGATCTGTTAATCTCTCACATCTATAATTTAATGTATTTTCTTTTAATTTCTTCGACCATTATCTGTCATTGAATGTATGATCTGTTAATCCCTCCCATTTATCATTGAGTGTGGGATCTGGTAATCTCCCATCACTGAATGTGTGACCTGTTTAGTATTTCTCTTTCATCTATAATTAAATGTGTGATCTTTTAATCCCTCCCATTTATCATTGAATGTGTGATCTATTAATCTCTCCTACTTATAATTGAATGTGTAATCTGTTAATCTCTCTCACAGATTATTGAATGTGTCTCAGTAACTGGAGTTGTGGAGATAACTGGCATTGAAGGGTAAGTAGTAAATTTCTCCTAGAGATCCTCATTATCACGTGCCCTGCTGACTAGTATAGGCGTTCATGCATCTCCGCAGATCTCTGTCCTTTGTCCTCTGGACCAGTTCCACCGATGATTTTCCTCTGTGTCAGCATTGCAATCCATCCGTCATCATCTCTCTCAGTCTACCTCTCCTTCTTCTACCATTAATCTTCCCAATTGTCACAATATTCTCAAAAGTCCCCCCCCCTCAGTCACATGACCAGAGAACAGTACTTGTCTTTTCTTTATAGCTGTATATATTTATATTTTGTCTTTAGCTTCCTTCAAGCAATCCTTGTTAGTTATTCTGGCAGTCCAAGGGATTCTTAACATTAATCTAAGGAATCAAATCTCTATTGCCTCCAGGTTATTTCTAATTTGTACATTCACATTCCATGATCCACTACCATACAGCAGTATGGGTTCTACATAACGTTTTAGTACTCTCTTTCGGGCATCCAGAGAGAGTTTACCTGTCGTACAAAATGTTCTTCATTCTGTGAAATGCAACCTTAGCCTGGCCTATTCTGTTATTAATTTCTTGCACACTTCTTCCGTCTGATGTTTTGAATGTACCAAGCTATTTGACTTTATTGACTTATATCAACTTTTTACCTTTTATTATGATATTGAACTGGTGGTATTCTTTTCTTTGAAATAACCATTACCTCAGTTTTCTTTATATTCAAGGACACAGGTTTTTTTTGCACTCTTCCTAACTACAGTGTCCAATAATTATTGTAGATCATTTGCATGTTGAGCTATTAGTAGTACTGTGTCATCTGCATAACTTTTGTTGTTTCTATTATAACCTCCCACTCTAATTCCTTGTGTATCTTTAATCTCTCTCAGTATCCCAGAGACAAGAAATATAAAAGTGGTCCTATAGAGACACTGTCTTAAGGACGATATCATATTAGTTGAGATGACAAACTCTCCCCTCTCCCATAATAATCCCTTCCTAACCTCTGTAGACTTGTGAAAATCATACTTACTTCTCCCCCCCCCCCCCTTTCCCCTCAACCTCCTACATATGAGTTCTGTGGGCCCCATTATGGGGGGGGGGGGGGAAAGAAAGAAGAGACTCACTACCCCCTAAAAGCATGTCATTAAAACTCGACTGATTAGAGGTGTTTCTTTCAGAGTGCATCTGCCTGCGAGGGAAGGAACCAACAGTCTGCATACAAATAAGCCAGGTCTGTAAAATAGATATGCATGCAAAACTCAAGTTCTGGAACAAGACTAAAATCCAGAAGTAGACAGAACCAGAATTTGTCTGCACCAGGTTTTAGCTGGTGAACACGAAGATCACACATTTTGAAATGCATGCACATGAATATAAACACTAAAAGAGCGCTGTTCAACACAGTATTCTTACAACAGCTCTGATTTTTACAAGCGCTCTACTTTCAGTGTCAGACATGGGCACTGTCTTTAGAAGACAGAAGGAAAATAGTCACAACAGAAATAAAATGCTTAGAAATCATGCTAGGTGTAACGAGGAAAGATTGACTTAGGAACAATAATATCAGGAGGAGAGTCAACACAGAACCAATAGTGAGCTTTATCGGTAGACAACAAATTAAACGGTTTGGCCACATAGCAAGATTGGCATCAGACAGGGCACAACAGAGAGCAATATTATGCAGATACAACTGTAACAGAGCTAGAGGTCGACCACGCAGAACATGGACCGCAGAAATATCATAAACACTGAAAAGTACTATATATGAAGTGAACAGAAGGGCCCGTTCCAGAGATCTTTTTCTTCCTTGACGCTGTAAGGCATTTCAGGAGTAGAGACAAGAAGAAGAACATGAAAAAAGTATAATTAGCATCTTCTACATCCAGGATTAGAGAGATATGGTGACACACTGACTACATGCTTGCTTTCAGCCTTGGTTTTGAATCCGCAAAAAGGGGGATTTTATAATTTGCTGAGGTTTCAAGAGTGACCTAGCTCAAAAGAGGCTCCCGGAAATGTTCCCCCACTGATCTTCCTTCTGCTGCACCTCGGTAATTAAACAATCAGTTTGTTAAAAGTCAAGGAAAATAAACTGGTACAAAAAAAGTCTTCCCCGTAGGGGTTCTGGGGTCCCATTACAGGGAAAACGGGAATAGACCCACTGCGTCCCCAACAAAATCACAGAGAAATTAAAAATCAACTAATTGGGGAATCCTTCAAAGTCGGAATGAATCTGCCTAAGAGGTAAGGAACCAACAGTCTGCATACAAACAAGCCACATCTGTAAATGAATGTATATGCCACACACAGATGAACAGCTAGAACTTTCCACAGCAGGTTACAGCCAATGAATGTAAAGATGAAGAATAAAACTCTTACATTATTGATAAAGTAATCAGAAAAGCAGAAACAAAATATATATATGTCATCACATCTTTGTACAGTTTAAAATAATTAATTTTTATGTGATGTCACATTAACAATTTCAGGACTGAGTTTATTTTGGATGAAAATGGCGATGTCTCCTGGCAAGTTCCAGATGAAACAGAACCGATGCCATTTTTCAATTGTGAAACGTATGAGGTAAAAGTTTTAATGCTAATAAAAGAAATCCATTTTGGCTAGTTTCCTCGTTATACTGTAGTTAGGAAGAGGCACTTAAATGAGAACCCCAAAAATTTCTGAGGAATCAAGGACATTGTTGAGAACTCCTACAACGAATATTGATGATGGAGGCTGTAGGTGCTTGACTGGGTCCAGTCCATGATATCAAAACGATTGCACAGGATAGAATGGAATGGAAGAATAGACTGCAAGAGCTTTGTGACATACAGTGGCAACGGATGATGGTGACGAGTAAAGAAGAGGAAATGCAGACTGAAAACTTATGTTATGGCAGGACAAACCAGGTCATTAGACTGGTTATCAAAAAACACTAAACCGAACACCCACAGAGCACACAGAACAATTTTTAATGTAAAGCACAGACCTTGATGTCAGGAGATTGGGTACTTTACCCAAAATGCAGGCCGTGATGGCTTTACAAAACACCATGTAGGCCTTTCCATCCCCATGGATAATACTCAGGTCCAAACCCACAGTGCTCCTGATAAGCTCTTTTCCCTTGCCACTGGACTCCACCAGTATCACAACATCCAGTCCAAAACCACCCTGGCTATCAGAATACCTTAACACTACTTACGTGACACATTATACCGAATACTGTCGCCGTCAAACACTACACAAGACAGAGGGACTATGATACCCTAACTAAACACACTATCGCAAGCTATCGGTCACTAGAATATCACCCCAGCATGCTAGAATTCTAAACCGTCACTCTGTTAGATGTCTACTATCTAACGTCCGATGTCCGACTCCCCTTGTCCAATCTTCCCCGTGACTTTTGTCACAGTCCGACAGCTCAGCCAAGTCCATGCAGGACCTGTGGACATGCAAGCGAAGCGCTCAAGTCAGGCACGCTTTATCGCTGTCGTAAATTCATCAGGCTGAACTGTGGTTCACCTGTCGGTCATCCGAGTACACATACACAGACACACACAATTTCTTTGTTGCTTCTCATTATCTGTTCTTCAGTGTTTGCTTCTCTGATGGGTACAGAGATTTATCCTAAGACTATTAACTATTTTTCCAGTCATCATCATTGTTCTGTTGTGCCATTATATATTACAAAGGGCTTGCTGTTCAAGTAACTAAGTCAGTCACTGCTGCATTCCACAGGCTTGAGAATCAGCTGTACACACATGCCGTGATTGTCACTGACTCACAGAGCATGTTGAGAAAGGTGGAGACATGTATTCTCTGTGCAAGGTGGCAAGCATCACTTCAGAGGTCCCGGGTAGTTAGCATCCTTTGGATATTCTCTCCAGGTGATGCCGGGGTGTTGGGAAATGAGCAGGCAGATAGACTGGCTGGTTCTGCACCCACCACTTGGTAATGAACTGATGTTTGACAAGCTAGGTGTTGTGAAGGCCCTTAGGGAGCAAGGAAATGGTGTGAAGGTGCAAATAGATCATTTTGGTTTATGGAGAATGGCGCTGTGGGGAGTTACCAGGACATTTGACTGACACTCAAGGGAAAGGCAAGAGGGATGTAAAATCAAACAGTTACTGGTACCATCAGAATTGGAACTCTTTGCTTGCTCCTGAAGATGGGAGTGTTCTGAGTGCAGTGATGTGGATTCTTAATTTAACATTCATTCAACTGTTGTTACCACTGGTTGCCCAGAAATTTAATTTTTCTTATTTCCTTACCCTTTAAAATTCATCCCATTTTATGCTGAACATTCTCGTCAGGCATTTATTTTCGTAGTCTTTTTACATTCATTCCACGTCTTCGGTGGTTCTCCGAAACCTTCACTGGCATATGTTAACACTGAAATAACATTACAATTGAAAATTTTAAGTTGGTACATTACAGTGTTTACAGATGATAAAGGTGTAATATGTTATGCAGAGGCGTGGTGAATCACAGTCCTTGGCGATGGAAAGTTAAAGGTTAAAGTCGAGAGGATCGACTTCATTGCACCAGGTTTTATCCCATATGGCTCAGTCTCTCTCTGCAGAACAGCTAGCTGCCTGCCTAGAGCGCCACCCAGAGCACGAACTTCATAGCTTCAGTGACGATCCCCAGGAATCTCCATAAAAAGTGCACTCATGAACTGAAAAGCCGGCTGTGAAATGAACCCACAACCTTCAGAGTGTGAGGCAAACGGCCTGACCACTTTGCCACAGAGATTCCCTGGCGATGGCGTGTATAACTAGCAAGACCACAGTTTGGATTTCTGTAAGTTTCTTAATGCAAATGTCCCTTTCATTCCTCAGGTGTGCCCTGCTGCCGGAAGTGAACCTGCTGTGTTGAAGTTTATAGGAACCTATGCAGGATATGTTGTCGAATTTAAGGTCAGATAACAGCTGTCACTGTCACTCTCTTTGACTCTCTCTATCTTTTTTTTACTCTCTGTCTATCTCTCTCTCTCTCTGTCTTTCTCACTGTCTGTCTCTCTCAGTCTCTGTCTTTCACTGTCTATCTCTCTCTCTCTCACTCAGTCTTTCTCTCTGTCTCTCTCACTCTTTCCACTGTCTGTCTTTCACTGTCAGTCTATATCAGTCTGTCTTCCACTGTATATCTCTCTTTCACACTCTCTCTCTCTCTCTCTCTGTGCCTGTCTTCATTCTGTCTGTCTCTCTGTCACTTTATCACTCCCTTACTCTTTGTCTATCTTTTTATGTCATTGTCTCTCACTCTCTCTCTCTCACATATAAAAGTGTATATATCTTTAGCACTATGCCAGTGTCACCTAAATATAATTGTTGCCATTTTTATCTTTCTCTCTCTCTCTCTCTCTCTCTCTCTCTCTTTCTCTCACACTGTCTCTGTCTCTTTGTCTTACTTTTAACCCTTTGAAATTAAAGTTTGTTCATTTATTCCTTCGTTCATCCTCTCCTGTCACCCACTCTCATGCTAACAGTGATGTGTGTATGTATCGTTGGCACCATGCCAAAGTCACCTAAATACTATTGGTACGATTTTTATCTAAGTCCATTTCAAAGTTGTTATTTGTCACTTGACAATATACCAAAGGCAAACGTGAATTCCTACGCCAAATAGGTCACAATAAAATTAAACTTTTCCGGCAACCATACAATTTTCATTTGCCACTCACTGTTCATACATCTCTCTTCTCCATGTGTTTTTTGGCCCCTGTTGGTTCTGACATTCTAGTTATGCTGTTCTCCTGTTTTCTCAGTGTGTGTCCTATCCAATGCCAGCATCTTTTCCTCACCTCTTGGTTCACTGGAGCCTGTTTAGTTCTCTTCCAAAGCTCTACATTAGTTATTTTATCATACAATTTAATTCCCTCTATTCTGTTCAGGTACCTGTTAATGAATGTCTGTAATTTATTAGTAATTGCGTTAGTTGTTCTCCAAATTTCGGCCCCATACAAAAGTACTGATTTGACATTAGAATAAAAATTTTTGAGTTTTGTATTTCTTTTAATTTCTTTTGACCTCCACAAATTCCCTAGTGCTATGAAAGCTTCTCTTGCCGTTTGTATTCTTATTTTAATATCTCTATCAGTTCCTCCATCTTTATCTACATTACTGCCCAAATAGGTGTACAACTCAATGTCTTGGAGTGGGGTGCCATTAAGAGAAACCACATTACTATTTGCCTGATTTATTCTCATTATCTTTGTCTTTCCTTTATGGATTTTCAGACCAAGCTGCTGTGATCTCGCATCAAGTAGATTTAATCTATTTTGCATCTGATTCCGTGAATGGGACAGAAGAGAAAAATCATCATCAACGAAATCCAGATCATCAAGCTGTTTTGTAGGGGTCCATTGAATTCCATTCTTGGTGTTAGCAGTTACTGTTTTCATAATCCAGTCTATAGCCAGTAAAAATAAGAGGGGCGACAAAAGACATCCCTGTCGCACACCTGTTTTTATTTCAAATGCATCTGTTAGCTTTCCCTCATGAAGAACTCGACATTTCATGTCTTTATATGTTGCCTTTACTAAGTTGATAATTTTCTGTCGGATTCCATTGTGCCCCGTCAAACTGTTCACACATAGTTTTCTCAAAATAAAGTTTTAGCAGCTTAGTGACTTTGGCGAGGAGCGGCTGCCCGAATGGTTAGAACACTAGGCTCTCAAGCGGGAGACCCGGATTCAAATCCTCGGTAAGGCTGGGGATTTTTTTCTGTTGGGGGCAAAATAAAATCCTCACCTGTACAGTCATGGCGACAACGCCAGCCATGCGGCTGTAAATCCTCAGGCTCAAAGACCCCCCCCTCCACCACAAAATAGTCTAATAAAGGCAGTAACTGGCATTTGTTGTTGGCAGTGACTTTGGCAAAGAGCCAACTGATATTTATTGGTCTCCCTGTATCTCTCTTGCCCTGTTGGTTCCAGTAAAAGTACATTTTAATTGTACTTTTATTCTCTGTTGGGTTCTGGGGCCTCATTGTGTGGTAAAGAGAATAGACCTGCTGCCCCTTAACAAGTAAGTTGGTAAAGGCGACTGCTTTGGGGTGTTTCTTCAAAGTTGGAGTGCGTGTGCCTTATAAATGAGAAACCAACAGCCTGCACACAAATAGGCCAAGTTTGTAAAATGGACGTGCATGCAGCAGTCAAGCCCTGGATCAAGACCAAAGTCCAGAAGTGGATGAACAAATAGAACTTTCTGCTGGAGTTTACAGCCGTCAACAGTCAACAAAAAGAAGAAGAAGCTGGTTTGTTATCATTAAACACATTAGAAAGTTACAAAAATGGCAGGACATTCTACTCTTCAACCATCATCTTCTTTATTGAAGCCTTTTAATAAACATGTTGCGCTTCATGACATCTGCCAGGTTGACATCTCGGAAGATCTCATGCTGTTGACCTATGAAAAATGCTGCATGCTGCAGTGTCAGAAAGTAAGTCCTGTTGATTAACTGGTGCTTCTTGCTTTGTCTTGACTTGTCTGTCCACTTTTAACTCTTTGGTGACAAGAAATGCGCCATGTGTTTTTTTGTTTTTAGTTACCCCATAAACTATTTAATTTTTCACATTTTTGTTTGCCCCATCCAGTTGATACATTACCAGCTATTCTCTTTCTCTTCAGCCTTCTGTGCTTGAATACTGCTACTATTTTAAACTCTGTGGATCCAAGCGTTAGAATATATTTGAGAGAGAACTGAACAACTTCCAAGTGAATCAAGAGGTGACGAAAAGACACTGGGGATGGATAGGAAAAACACATCAAGAAAACCATATAGGAATACATCCCCAATTAGTTGCATTGTATAAAATACTTGTAAGGCAGGCAGTGGGTCTGTCACCCTCCCTCTACTGGGGTCCTGGAACCCACATGGGAAACATGCAGTTGGGGGAAGCACCAAAGTAAACTCCAGAGCATATCTTTACAAGATTTCGCAGGTCTGAGAAAGGAAATCTGATGCACAGGGGCGACACTTCAAGACAAACTGTGTGACATCAGTGAACTGATGCACAGGGGCGACACTTCAAGACAAACTGTGTGACATCGGTGAACTGATGCACAAATGCGACACTTCAAGACAAACTGTGTGACATCAGTGAACTGATGCACAGGGGCGACACTTCAAGACAAACTGTGTGACATCAGTGAAGATCAACATTATTTGGCACTGGTGGAGACTTCAGGTGCATCATTCTGTTTGTGACCCAAAAATATCTCAACAATTTTTTAAAATAAAAATATAATCATAACCAACATGTCTACACACTATGCAATTGCAGCCTTTACTAAAGCTGTCATCTGTCGTAATAGGCACTGTCCAGAGATGTCATCTCAACCAAAAACCCTTAAAAGCTGTAAAAACCTCTCTCTGAGCAAGAGGATTGAGCATACTCATTGTAGGGAAACAATAATTTCTGCTTGTCATTGTTAGTTAAGACCAGTCGTTTTATATAGCTTTGAAACGTGAAGTACAACTAAAAGAGATGAAGCCTTATTACAGGTTTTTGAAAACAGAGTCTTACGACAAATCTTTGGACCCATCAAAGATGCAAACAGCAGGGAATGGAGAGTGAGAAGCAACAATGAAATTCATAATCTGTTTAAATCACCACTGATCACTGGCATCAAGAGAGCTAATAGACTTAAATAGTTGGGGCATATTGAAAGAATGTCAGCTGACAGAGAAGTAAAAACTGTATACACCAGGGAGATGAATGGTCGTATACGACGAGGCAGACCAAGAAGAATATGGAGAGATGATGTCCAGACAGACTTACAAACACTTGGTGTAACCAATTGGAAAGAGAAGGCCAACCAGCGAGATGAATGGAGGCGGGTGATATCTGCAGCAATGAACCTCAAGGGTTCGGAATGCTGAAGAAGAAGAAGAAGTCATTGTTAGATTTTATTTAGTTGATTATGTAAGGAATATTTGCAGTGTAAAATAAAATTACTTTGTTAATCTATTGAGCATGTTTTTAAATTTATGCCGCCTGGCAAGTTATGGCTGTCTGTTTACAGGTCTCGCCAGGACCCCGGAAAGAAGATATGCCATATTCATTTTTGAGTGTCCTAGAACATGGCTATTTCTCGGATCTAGTGTTGCGAGCTGACTCTGGAAAGGAGGTGAAGTATAAATGTGTGGTTAATTTCATCATCATCAGCCATTATATGTCACATAGGGCTCACAGTCTATTCCCCATTCCATTCTATCTTGTGCAGTCAGTTCAATATCATGGATGGAAACCAGGCCAGCAGCTTTGGCTTCTCTCATCAGCGTAAACTTTAGGGTTTCTTTTGGGCGTCCTCACCTCCCTAATCCCTTTACTTCTCATTTTAGTTCTTGTTTAGTGATTCTCTGCTCATTTCTTCTCAGTAAGTGTCCAGTATCACACCATCTTCTCTGTCTTATAAACTGTTGATGCTAGTGGTAATTATAAATTGTTTGGAATAAATATTACAGTACTGAAGCTAAAAAATATATAGTATTTATGTTAAACATTGATATAATTGTCTCTGAGAAATCACCATTAACTACTGGTATCATGGGAGCCAACAGCCTGCTGTAGTTGGGCAAGTAGAAAAGAGAAAGGCAAGTATCAAAGAGATCAACACCACATGCACAAAAAGTCCCAAGAAGTTCTTAATTTAACTCCTTCTATTCCAGGGTGTTAAGCTTAAAAGCAGTAAATACTTAGGTCTGAGGAGGTTAAACAAAGATAATATGAGACAGAAGTAGTCAGTGGGTGATGTAGTCACCATCCTGTTGCCCGACTGCCTTTACTTCCCAGGACTTTAACTGGTACTCATTTAAGACTGGGTCGACCTGGGAGACAAGGTCATTTGTAAAGAAAGTCCTCCTTTTGGATCTGAAACCATGACCTTAGGACACCACAGCAGCTCGACCACATTAAATAGAGCGTAATAATTCCAACACTGATCTGCTATTGCCATACTTTGACTTATAAAAACACCTACGTACGTAAACACTTGTCATATGGGGAGCTGCATTAGTATAATAGCAAGATGTCTCTCATGATGTCCTGAAGGTCTTGAGTTTGAATCTGCATTGAGATTGATATAGTTTCATTTTTGCTCTAGCCCAAAATGGGTACCAGGTTAAAAGTCCTGAGATGTGAAGGCAGCTGTTGACCACATGAGCCACTGAATGCTACATTCTTAAACCAGTTAAATTTACACATCACATTGGAAAAAAAAATCACACAGACGATCCTTATATCTTCTCCCAGAACTGGTGAGGTAACAGGAAACAGTGAAAAAGAAAAAGGAGAATAAGCAAAAAAAAAAAAAGAATTGAATTAAATGTTTTTTTTTTTCAAACCTGGCTTCAAGAGCAAGTTATAGGGAGCCATGAAGGATCTGCAGCTGACATGCAAGTTCACATTATAGTCTGACATAAGCGTACAAAGCCGAACGCAAAGAAGAAAATAGATAGAATTTATGTATGTGTGTGGTAATTCTGTAAATATCTTGTTGACTAGAAATGATTAGCCATGTTTTAAAATATTTCTCTTTCCACAGTTTAAAGTCCACTCAATCATCTTACAGTTAAGTGCTCCAGAACTCGACTGGACAGCGCCAGTAACTCCACTGACAGGGCTGCCTGAAGATGTTTTGTGTGTAACCTTACATTACCTCTATTCGGAATGCTTGCCCCGGGGTCTCGCCGAAGAAACTGCTCAGCGATGTGCCAGGATGGTGGGCAAGATGCCAGGCTTCGCCAGATTTGGACAACTGTGTGAGACGTTCTTGAAAAACACAGCTTTGATTCAACGTGAGCATTTCACATTTATTTTCTTCTTTATATTTTTCTTTTTTTCTTTTGGAGAATGTGTGTCCTCAACCTTTTAGATATGTGTGTTCAGCTTCAGCATGTATTTATGTTAGGATCCACTAGACTCTGATCGAGATAATGGGCTTTATCTCCTTGTTGGTAGTTAATATTGTTCCTGGAAGTTTTACAAGGCATCATTGCTGAACCTTGTCATCCCGATAAAACTAAATCTAGTCTCTTCTGGTTGTGACACAGTCCCATAAATGCCAATATTTCACCCGGTCTGCAGTAGCCTTTCTGGAAAGAGGCAGTTAAATTTCATTGGTACTGCGTGAGCCTGCATAGTGTCTGATAGCCCAGGATATAAATATGGTAACTGAAAATAGCATTTAGCTAAGACCAATAGTGTCTTAACCCAGACAGGAGATATTCTGTATGAAGCCTAATCAGTAGAGTCAGTAAAACTAGGTACACTAACTGCAAGCCATAATCCAAATCTAAACAACAGGAACAATAATTATCACATTAAACATCTGTTTATTTTACTGAACACAAAACTCATGTGGTTCACATTTACAGAGGTTTCCTTATGACTCAGTGGCTTTTTAAGCCAAGTTGTTAAATTTTTCATCCAAGCCTCGGTGACAGAGGTCATAGGTTCACTGTATGAGTCACCCGAAACATTTTTCTTAACCCCGGAAAATGTGTTCCATTTAATGCTTCACTTTGTTCATGTTTATTGATTACCTTATTATAGATCTATATATTAAAAAAAATGGTTAATGTAGATAAATACAGAAAAAAATTATTAGTTATCTGTGTAAAATGTTGTTTTTTTAAATAGGATTTTTCTAGGAATTCTCATGGGTTTGTGACCCATTTTTTTCATCATTCGCTGGTGGGCAAACAAGTTAAATTTGGCTTTTCTGGATGTTTTTGAACTTGGCTAGATTTCTGATCTGACTGTGCGAAAGATCCAGTTTTGTATGAAATTATTAGAGACCAATTTTATGTTAGAAAGGCCTCACACTGGGAATAAACCTGGCAACTTCTGAGTCAGAAGAGGATATAGAAACCTTTTAGCCACGCTTTGCTCTGATGCAATTTTCTGGAACATTCTGTTGTTCAGCTGTTAAAGGTCTTGGCTTGTATGGCTGTGTGATGTAAATACTGGTAAAGACAAATTCCATTCCATGACAGTTGCTTCTAGAATAGTAAGAAATGACCAACCTTCACATATGCAGAGCTCTTCTTCCTTTGCTGGTGGTTTTCAGCTGAGAAAGCCACATACCTCTGTGAAGGCTTGGGTGTGATGCATGTCCTCATCTGATCCATACAGCTAGGTTTCCGTCAGACTATCAACTTGCCTGACTTGGGATCTCTGTACTGCATGTAGAGAGCGTGTCTGCAGTACATCTTTAGTATTCTGGGGTGCCTGTTCACATAAGTAATGCTAAGTAAATCAAGTGCAGTAAACCAGTTTGAGTCTTTTATGGCTATTTCTTAGTGCTGTCGGCATTTTAACTCTTTCAGGACCACATTTTTGGGTGTTTGGACAGCATTAATTTTGAGCGGAATTGTTTTGCTGCAACACAACAAAGCTAAAACCTTCCTGAAGAACAATTATTGGCTGTATCTGGAACAAAAATATATAAAATTAAAGATAAATGAGTGCAGAATAAATTTAATCTATGTGTCAGTATTACAACAAAGTATTGTTTTAAATCACACAACATTAAAGGATGTTAGACACATATGAAGATTATTTTCATACAAATTGTTGTGCTTACCTTACCTTTTTTTACTTGTTCAGCAACTCTGCTATCCAATTCTAAGAATGCACATGCCTTCTCTGTTCAATTATGTATCAGCTAGTTTTTATTTGAAACAGTTAATTTAAATACATTGATTGTTATGATCCTTTTTGTATGACATGTCAAATTTCACAGTAACCGAAAATCAGGAAAACAGCTGATCGAAACATTGATTCGATTGAAATATTTTGTTCAATTTTCATATCCTAGACTAAATTATCGACAATAGCTTTGTCACTTAGATATTAATAATAATATAAAGACTTGTCACCATCTGGCAGGGATTCATCAACGACAGAGCAGTATGAACAGTTCTAGACCTTTTTTCCTTATCATTTAAAATATAAAACAAATCACGTAAAACTTGTATCATATCTAACAAAAATTGTAAAAATCAGAAAATGACGCAAAGCCACGCGGAACATTGCAAATGAAAGGACTTCCTGTTGTTAATCCTAATTTGTCAAAAACGTTTTCATAAAAGTTTGTTTTTCCCACAAACGGAACAAAATTAGAGTGTCTCTGGGATATGCCATTTAACTGGCGACCAGTCGGATAGGGAACAATTTTAAAGCCAGTTAACTGGTGACTGGCAGCTCTGTGGCTAAATCGATGCGAACGCTTGATAATGCCGGTGTACCAGGTTCAATCCCAGCTGTGGGCCATGCACCTTGCGTTGGTTTTGACAGTGGTATCAGGAGGCCGACCGTGCAGAAAGCAATGGCAAACTACTGGATGTTAATTTGCCTAGAGAAACCACAAAACAGCCAGAGGCTGCTGAGGTTGGTTCTGCAAAGTCCTGTAAAGGATACTCAACTTACCTTTAACTGGGGACTTGTCTTCAAAGAGTTAAAGTTCATTGTTCATTTTAAGATCATCGCATCGGACATGACCATGAGTGCTCCGCTGTTCTCCTGAGCATGTCTCCAAGTGTTTGAGGCTAATAACTCCCCTTCTGTTGTGGTTGTAACCACTGGTGGCTCCTGCATGGTTTTTGTCCCGCCGCTCCAATTGATACACCCAGGGATGAAACTGAAAGCTTCACAACATTTAGTCTTTGGTACGGCATTGATGATGTCTCTCCTGTCCATAGATGGCTCATTCCTGATAGGCGTACAGCCAGCCGGGGCAGTGTATAACGGCGAGAATTTCATAATACTGTAGGTTTTGATCTACTTTCTACCCCTTTGGGTTCCAGGGCCCCATTTTAGGTGAGCTGTATGCAGTAGTGAAGAACAGGACAACTTTAACACTTTATCAGTGTCGCTGCACATTGGGCGTTCCCATGCGCGCTCAATCCTCTGATCCAAGCAGCCACTCCAGAATACTTCAACTGATTGTTCTCATGAAGAGCTGGTTATTATTTCACCTCACTTGGCTAAAAAGATGCTTGTAAATTCTTCACCACACTTAACTCCCATGTCACGCAATAGGGTTAGTGTCAGATGTCTGCTTTCTCCTTCACCCCGGTTGTATAGATCCAGGTGAGTGAGTTTGAGTGCGATTTCTGAATGCTTTCTACTCATTCAGTTCTTGCTGCGATTTTCTAAAGTGTATCTATGGAGTGAGTTGGTTTTGGACCTGTGCTTCATTAAGGAAGAAAAATTAATTGATTAGTGATTATTTAGGTATTTAGGATTATCATCACAGCACTCCAGACAGATCCATAGGTGCTCCGATCTCCTCCTCAAAAGCTCCACAAGTGTAAAACGACTGATGACGCCTGTTCTGTGTTGGTTAATGAAACGTATTGTCCCATTAGTGAAATGTTCATTTCTTGCAGCTCAGGCTGTACCCCCATGTCCATCAGTCTAGACAGGGATACAGAGTCATGTCCTTTAGCGTCCTCCTTGGTAAAGTAATTGATTGTTAATATTAACCCAAAATGTTTCTCCCCCAAATGACCCAATTGTTCCACTTTATTATCTGCACAGAAATTAAGTCTCTAGTCTCTGACATCCACGGCTGTGCCGACCGCATCAATGATCTGTTCGGTGGTAGCGCCGTTGAGGATGGGAGAGAGCCGGCTACACTGGAGGGCAGTCTGTGGTCGAGTCCATCCAAGCTGTGTTACACTGTCCGGCAGGCCCTTCGGGAGGAAGCTATAGGTCGGTTACAGTTTGATGATGATGTTGTTTCTTTGGGACCGGAGTATCCGGCATACAATTCTTCTTGTATCATTACCATCATCATCATCAACATCTTGCAGTCATCATCATCATCATCATCTTGTAATCATCATCATCACAATCATGTAATCATGATCACCATCTTATAATCATGATCAAGACCATCTTGTTATCATCATCAGCATCTTGTAATCATCATCAGTAACATCCTGTAGTCATCATCATCCCCGTCATTTAATCATCACCATCATATTGCAAACATCATCATCCTAAGCACCTAATTATGATCGTCATCTTGTAATCATTATCACTGTCATGTAATCATTACTGCTATCTTATAATCATCATCATCACCATCGTGTAATACATCATCACTGTCATATAATCATCACCACCTCTTATAATCATCATCACCATCTTATAGTCATCATCATCGCCATCTTGTTATTCATCATCTTCATCATGTAATCATCACCACCTCTTGTAATCATTATCATTATAATCTTGTAATCATCATCACCATCATTGTATCGGTCACTATCATTGTAATAATCATCATCTGTGTTGTCAAATTAGTTTAGTTACCTATACTTATGCCATTTGTCATCTTTACTGCTGTGTTTTCCTCCGAGGCTAGCATCATTGATGCTGTATCATCTCCTGGTGCTCCAGTACTGTCATTATTAATGCTGTCTTAGCTTCTAGTGTTCTAGTACTGTCATCATAAATGCTGTCTCTGCATCTAGTGCTCTAGTTCTGTCATCATTAATGCTGTCTTAGCTTCTAGTGTTCTAGTACTGTCATCATAAATGCTGTCTCTGCACCTAGTGCTCTAGTTCTGTCATCATTAATGCTGTCTTAGCTTCTAGTGTTCTAGTACTGTCATCATAAATGCTGTCTCTGCATCTAGTGCTCTAGTTCTGTCATCATTAATGCTGTCTTAGCTTCTAGTGTTCTAGTACTGTCATCATTAATGCTGTGTCAGCATCTAGTGCTCTAGTTCTGTCATCATTAATGCTGTCTTAGCTTCTAGTGTTCTAGTACTGTCATCATAAATGCTGTCTCTGCATCTAGTGCTCTAGTTCTGTCATCATTAATGCTGTCTTAGCTTCTAGTGTTCTAGTACTGTCATCATAAATGCTGTCTTTGCATCTTTTGCTAAAGTCATCATCATCATCATGTGCCCTGCCAACTGGTGTAGGCACTCCTGCGTTTCCACAGATAACGATCCCTAGTTGCCTGGAACAGCTCTCTTGATGTTATCCCTCCTTGCCATTGTTTCAGCCCATCCAGCATCATCTCTCTTAGTCTGCCTCTACCCCTCTTTCCACTGATCTTTCCAGTTGTCACAATGTTTTCCAATGCCTCTCTTCTCATTATGTGGCCAAAGAACAGTGTTTGTCTCTTTCTTATTGTTGTATATAAGCAGTCGTCGTTAGTTACTCTGTCCGTCCAAGGTATTAGTAACATTCGTCTCAGAAACCACATCTCTGTTGCTTCCAAATTCTTCTTAATTTGTTCAGTGACTCCAAGATTAGCTGCCATAAAACAGAGCAGGTTCTATGTAACATTTTAGTACTCTCTGACATTAAATGAGAGCAACTTATTGCAAAGATATTTTTCATTTTCTGAAATGCTGCCTTCGTTTGACCTTTTCTGCTTTTAATCTCAGTCACATATTTTCCATCTGATGATTTGATTGTTCCCAGATATTTGAATTTATTGACTTGGTTAGGCCTTTTTCCTTCAGTTGAGATATCACAACATGGAGTTATATTCTTCTTTGATTTAAATATTACTTCCGTTTTCTTGATTTTCAATGAAAGTCCTTTCTCAGCACTCTCCATCCCCACTCCAGTACTGTCATCATTAATGATATTTTATCTTCTGGTGAATTATTGATTCTCTTCCTCCAGTGCAGATATCACTAATGCTGTCACTTTTTCCAGTTCTGTTGTTGTTTTTTTGTGTGTTTGTTTTTTAAATTAATCTCTAAATCTCAAAGCTGTTAAAATGATTTATTTATGCCTCCACTTCTGTTATCTTTATTTATTATCCAACTTCACGTAATAATCTTATTTTACTATCCAACATCACTTGTATAATTTTTTGTGTCTATCTTGACTTATGAAATCTTTGTTTAACCTGTAACATCATTAACATTATAATGAGGAAGACCACGAGAGACTCTTCGCAGAACCATCATCAGGCAAGGCTCAGCCTTGGGCCTAACAAACATCCAGGACCTAAAGCAGGTGGCAACGAACCGCCAGACATGAAGAGCTTTGACCTCTGTCCTATGTATTGCCCTAGGCCTAAGAGGAAAGACTAACTAACTAATATTTTCTGTAATTGTTATTGATTCCATAGATCCAGTTCTAAATTGCTTTTTTTTTCTAAAGCTCCTCTACTGTAATTTTCTAATGTATCTTTCACAGAACACTCTTTACTTAAACATATTGTTATCCTTACTTTTTTCCCCTAGCCTGTGCAAAACTAGTCCTAATCTGTGACATGTTTTCTAAGAGGAAGTATGAGCTGTCTCGTGAAGAACGATACGAGATTATGAAATATGTCAAGTCAAGGTAAGCTGTTATTTTACACCTACAATTCTTACTTGAAGCAGACAAAGAATCTTAAAAAAAATACCAAAAATAAATAAATAAATAAAAGATAGCTGTGCATCCAATGTATCATTTCAAGGAAGTTTTAGTTAAAGCACTCATAATATCCACATCAATCTAGTGTAACCTCCAGTCTTGTGCGGGTAAGGATGAGATGAGAGGTGCTCAGCTGGACTATGTACGACAGAGCTATTCAACTAAGTTTAATCTGGAGCCAAAATGTTGGAAAATAGGGATCATCACGGGCCAGAAGCCAAAGTCCCAGCATAGAAAGATCATTGATATAATACAACTGGCAGGCCACTTTGCTAGGCCTCCGCAGGCCAGATTTGGCCCGCAGGCCACCAGTTGAATAGCCCTGATGTACGACATTACAAAAGTTGAGGAACAGCTATAATTTTCTGCCTGAGTTTAACCCTTCCAGACCGCTCTCCCGTTTTTCTGGGAATTTCATAACTGTTCTGTATACCGCTGGCCCTAAATTTAGGCTGTTTGCATAGTGCGTGAAAAAGACGCGTCACTGACTAAAAATAACCAACCAATCATCATCAGTCCGCTTTGTTAGAGATTGCAAATGGCTTCCCCGTGTGTGTGAATCAATTTTGTGTGTTTTAACGTGAAAAAATTCGGAAAATTCAGAATGAAGCGAGCGGCTGATGAACCAAGTTCTAGGCTTTTCACAGTCCTACAGGTGATCGGTACTTTGGTTTATTCAGTCTCTGTGATATATATATATATATTCATTATCTGTGATAATTTCATAAAGAATATGTTCTTGAAATGGCACTGTCAGTGAGAGCGCAAATGATGAGGAAAATCTTGAAAATTATCGATCTTGAAATAGATCGATAGTAGGAGGAGGGAATGTGTCCATCAAACGTCAACATCTGGTGTTCACTTTGTGAAACAAAGTTGATCTTGATGAGTGAATTCGCACACAAACGTGGAATATTGGTGCTAGATAAAAGGAAAGCCTATTTTCTACAATGTCTCCAAGTTTCATCATATTCAAGCCACTCGTTTGCATGTAACTAATATTTTTGTATATCATGTTGGTTTTTTCGCGGTAATGCCCAGGAGCTCAGGTTATAGGGACAGTTAGATTCAGGACCTTAGGTCTGGTAGGGTTAAAGCTGGTGAGCACTAAGAAGAAGAAAAAGCAGTCTAAAAATATTTTCCTAGCATTGTTTACGCAATACATATCTTAGCTTGGAAACATAACCAATTAAATATTAGTTTATTTATTACAAAATCCAAAAACAGTAATACTGCTGAATTCTAATACCTGAAAATTTGTACTTAGAAGCGAAAAAAAGGTTTTCAAATAAATTGTGGCTCAAAACACGAACGCTGCCTTGGAAACCGAACACCGACTCATGCTGATTATGTAAATAAGCTGACAACTCAAGAGCTTTGACACCTTCACTAGCAGCTAAAGAAAAATATTGGAGAAGGAATTTCTTCCGGGAAGGAAAAGCCGAAAGATGGAATATTAGCGTTGCTGAAATCCAAGATCTTTTGACCTTATGGTATGAGAAATGGTACCATGATATAGCCCTAGTTAACAGATGTGTTAACTTATTAAATGATAACAGTATCGAACATTTTAGGAAAATTAGAAATGGTTGCCAACATCAGAGCACTTGGCAACGCTAGCTGTCAACAAAATTTGGTGATCCCAAACCCTCTGTGATATGAAACTCCAGAAAGAATTTCTGATGCTAACATGGAAGGTGGTTCATCTTTGGATCTTTTTTCCAGGCTATGCCAGAGTGGTGGGAAATAAACAGGCAGACAGATTGGGTGGATCTACACCACTGGGTGGTGAATTGATACATGACAAGGCAGATGTGGGAACAAGCAACGGATTTAGTTGAGAAACAAAATTATTGTGGCCTGGGGAGAATGAGGCATCTGGGTGTTACCGGAGGGTCTGGCTGGCTCACTACACTCAGAGGAAAGGCAAGATGGACATTTAACCAGATTGTGACGGGTACCATGAGTATTGGAACTCTGCGCTGGCTGCTGAAGATGAGGACGGAGCATGCATGGGAATGCCCCGAGGGCTGTGATGTCAGTTCTGGACTCAGCTCAACTCATTTTCCAAACAATCATCTCCATGAATCACTCTTTCTCCTCCCACTTCTATGTACTTTGTCACCAGTTTGATCAGGGTTCAGTAAATACAAAGTTTGTATATATTTTTTATTTATGTTTGTATTATAATATGATCATCATGTGTTACTATATTTACAGTTTGCTGTATTTAGGAAAATACATTTCAGAATTTAAGTTTGTTGGACCCTGGAGCAGATGAATTTAAATTTCATTATTTTCAGTGTGTTACTATATTTACAGTTTGCTGTATTTAGGAAAATACATTTCAGAATTTAAGTTTGTTGGACCCTGGAGGTAATGAATTTAAATTTCATTATTTTCAGTGACATCCTAGGAAAGCACTGGGCCATTCTCCTTCCCTAGTAGGACCCTAGAAACAGAAACAGTATAAATAATTTTGTACACCAGTCTTTCCCAAACTTTTCTTAGTCACGGCGCCCTTTTTTCAATCAAAATTTTTCCACAGCACCCTCACCTAAGTGAAAGTATGACTACTCCTATGTAAGAGATAAAAAAAAAAAACTTTTTTTATCTTTGAATATTTCGCGATGCCCCTGTGAAGAGAGCACGGCTCCTAGGGGCGCTGCGGCACACAGTTTTTGAATCACTGTTGTATACTGCTCACTTTTCCTCCCTACAGAATTCCAGTATTTCTAAGGCAACTTCTGACCCTTCTGACGACAATTAAGGCTCATCTCCAGGCATTGACCCAACCTCAGCGAGCTGACATTGCTGCTTATCTGGTTCCGGAGGTGAGAAGGTATTCTTTGTAATCTGTTGTTATCATACAGCAGAATTGTTGTAGTTTCAAGGGCTACGTTGCATTTCAGAGGTCACTGGCAGTCTACTTGATAAAAGTAAACTTAACTCTTTCAGGATCACATTTTTTTTCTGGGGTATGGAGAGCATTAATTTTGAGCGGAATTTTTTTTACTGGAACATGACAAAGCTAAAACCTTCCTGAAGAAAAAGTATAGGGCTGTATAGGGACATATAGTATGTCAAATTAAAGAGAAATAAGTGCGGAATAAATCTAAACTATATACAAGTCAGCATAACCCTGTGAACAAATTTACATTGGGCATCCTAGGGGCGCTATAGACCAATCAGTACTTGGTGGGTGATGTGGAATCATAACACTGTCGCCTTTACTGCTCGGGACTTTTCCTCCCTACCCATTTCCAGGGTTTCTAAGGCAACTTCAGAGTCATTAAAATTTAAAATTAAGGCTCATCTGTTATGATTTGAACCTAGAACCTCAGCTGCAGCAGTCATTTAGCTGCTACATCACGGCAGTTATAGAGTCTGTGCTTTGTAATCTAGATTGTTATCTTCTGAAATAAAAAGACTTTGATGCAGACCAGCATGTACTACCTGGTGAAAAGTTGTGGTTGACTAGTTGACGGCTTCAAAACTGGACAGTCCTGCTCCATGGAAATGATAAGGGTGTTGTTGTAGTCTCAAGGGCTACGTTGCATTTCAGAGGTCACTGGCAGTCTACTTGATAAACGTAAACTGAACTCTTTCAGGATCACACTTGGGGTTTGGAGAGCATTACTTTTGAGCAGAATTTTTTTTACTGGAACATGACAAAGCTAAAACCTTCTTGAAGAAAAAATATTGGCTGTATAGGGACATATAGTATGTCAAATTAAAGAGAAATAAGTGCGTAATAAATCTAAACTATTTACATGTCAGCATAACAACACGAACAAATTTACATATTGGGCATATAGGGCTAGATCTATATTTTATAGACCAATCTTAACTTGGTGGGTGATGTGGTCAACATAACACTGGTCGCCTTTACTTCCCATGACTTTACCTGGTACCCATTTAAGACTGGGTCGGTCTGGGAGCCAGAGTATTAAAATTTTTAAAAAGTCCAGCTCTGTTATGATTTGAACCTAGAACCTTCGGAGTTGCAGGCAGTCATTTAGCTGCTACACCACAGCAGTTATAGAGCCTGTGCCTGTAAAATAGATGGCCACAGATTTCTGAAATAAAAAGACAGTTTGATCCAGACCAGCATGGGCTACCTATTACAGCTTGTCAGTTGACTAGTTGACGGCTGTCAAAACATTGGACACCCTTGCTATAATGGAAATGATAAGGGTGCCGTTTGTCTCCTCTCTTATTTATCACAACTGTAGATGATTATGACGACTTCAACAACTACCACCAGAAATGAAATTCAACAGACATGAAAGAACAGCTTTCTTCTTCTTCTTTTTTGTGTTCTTCTTCTTATCATTCTTTGCGTTCTTCTTCTTCTTTTACATTCTTCTTCTTATTCTTTACATTCTGCTTCTTTGCGTTTATCTTCTTCTTATTCTTTGCATTCTTCTTCTTCTTCTTCTTTGCATTCTTCTTCTTTACATTCTTCTTCTTCTTCTTCTTTGCGTTCTTCTTTTTCTTCTTCTTCTTTTTTCTTTAGGCCTCTTTTACTGCATCATGTGTCGAGGGAGATATAATGTCCTGCTTCAACTGTAGACACATTGTGGTGCTGTAGAGTTTCTCTGATGTTATCCTTCCATCTTGTTCTTCCTCTACCTCTTGCTCTGAGTCCTTTTCCATTTTGGTAAATGCCTTGTATGGTATAGCGTCAGAAAGCATTCTCTCCAAGTGGGCATAAGGCATTCTCTCCAAGTGGGCAGACCATTTGATTTGCGTTGAACGGCTGCAAACTCCAGTGGAAAGTTGGGTTTTAGTCTTTTCCAGACCCTGAACATATTCATGCACATCCATTTGAAATATCTTGTTTATTTGTATGCAGACTGTTGGTTCCTTGCCTCTAAGGCAGATGTACTCTGACTTCAGTGGAAGCCCACAATTAGTCGACTGTTACAACTTGCTTCTGGGAGGCAGTTGGTCTATCCTTTTTCCCCACAATTAGCTCCCAGAACCCACACAGGGAACCCTCACTTATGTCCCACTTGCAAAATTGTATGGAGGTCTTCTGGTCCAAAATGTAGGATTCGGCATGGCAGAATGTTAAGCTTCGAAGTTATTTTTGCTTTTAACAGCACTTTGCTAATGCAGTTTCCTTATATGGATGGTAGTCTACAGTTTTGCTGTCTAAGCTACTGGGTTTAGTGCTTGGTGCAGCCCTATGAGCTGTGTTTTTCATGTGGAATGCCTTTTATATTTGTGTGTGGTATTCAATATGGCTGGCAGCCAGTTTACATGTGAGCTGGCAAAATACCTTATGTAATAATTCTTCATGTGTATAGCCGACTTATTGTGCCTGACTACTTCCATCAATGACAAACTGCATTTCTGGTGGTGTCTGTTGGCTTTGGCACCTCTAGCAACTGCCATATGCATTTACTGAATGCACATATGTCTGGATTGTTCCGGACTAATTGTTCCCCAGTTTTTCAAATATGACAGTGAGGGACGTGATAATAATGGTAGTCAAGGTTGGTAGAATAAGAAGAGATATAAATATAATAATACAAAATGCAGGATAAGCTTTCTTAGCACTAGTGAAGAATGAAGTTGGAATATGTAACACCAAAAAAACTTTACTAGTTTACAAAATTGTTTCTTCAGATGGAGATAATCTTAGACACCATGTCCCGATTTGCCAGCGAAACAAAAGCTGCCCTGGAGCAGGCAATAACTACCAGTAATGAGAAAGCAACAGTTGAGAAAGGAGACAAGGCAGAGAAGTCACGGAAAAGTGGGGTTGGAGATGTCCTTGGACGCACACTGAAACACGTTAGTGTGTGTGTGTGTGTGTGTGTGCGTGTACATGTCTCTCTCTCTCTATATATATGTCTGTATATATATATATATATATATATATATATATATATATATATATATATATATATATATATATATATGTGTGTGTGTGTGTATATATTTGACCAGTAATGAGAAAGCAACAGTTGAGAAAGGAGACAAGGCAGAGAAGTCACGGAAAAGTGGGGTTGGAGATGTCCTTGGACGCACACTGAAACACGTTAGTGTGTGTGTGTGTGTGTGCGTGTACATGTCTCTCTCTCTCTATATATGTCTGTATATATATATATATATATATATATATATATATATATATATATATATATATATATATATATATATATATATATATATATATATATATATATATATATATATGTGTGTGTGTGTGTGTGTGTGTATATATTTGTGTGTATGTGTATATATATAAATTTGTCGGCGTCTGTGGCTTAGGTGTTGTGAACATGCTTCGTAATGCCGGGGTGCCAGTTTCGATCCCAGCTGCGGACAATGTGTCTTGCACTAGTTTCGACAGTGTTATAGAGAGCTGACCGTTCAGAGGCAGTGGCAAACTACTAAACATTAAATTTGCCAGAAAAACCACAACAGCCAAAGAATGCTGGGGTTGGTTCTGCGACGTCCCCTAAAGGATACACAACTAACTAACTATATATAGATATGTATATATATGTATATAGGGGCTTTTGAGTTGAAATGCTTTAGAAAGATTCTCAGAATATCTTGGACAAAGAAGAGGAGAAATACTGACATCTTGAAAGATCTGAACATCAGGGAAGATTGGCTAATAAACAGCATCCTGTCTTGGAAGCTGAAATATTTTGGTCAAATCTAGTGCCACGACGGATCGGAAAAAAATTATAGCAAAAGACATGGTACCAGGTAGGAGGGGCAGGGGCCAACTGACACGAAGATGGGCCCAGGATATAAGTGACTCCTTGAGTATGAAAGTACATGAGACGGGAGAACTGGCAAGAGACCGAGTTTTTTTCAGGCAGACTGTGATGAGAGCGACGTTCTGCAAAGGACCTACTACATGATAATGATGACGATATATATATATATATATATATATATATATATATATATATATATATATATATATATATATATATATATATATATATATATATATATATATATGTCTGTTTTAAATATTTGATAGCAAATATTTGGGGAAACAAAAACCCACTACCTCTCTAGCAAACTTGTAAAAGAGGACAAATTCGGGTATTTCTAGGTCTGGCCGTGATGCAGCTCTATGATTGGTGGATATAAGCTGCTGTGAATGTTTCATGATTTTGTCCCACAAACTGGCTTTCTTTTGTTTTGACCTGCTTTTATACTCATCTGTTGTCAGCTTTTCTTTCTCTCCACTATTCAGTCCACACAACCATTAGAATACTCTTCTTCTCTCTTCCGGCTGTAAGCTCTGGAGAAAAGTTCGTCCATTTGGACTTTGGCTTTGTGCCAGGGCTTGCATCTTACTGGCTGATGTGTGTGCCTTTGTTTGTTCCTTGACGCTCGGGCAGATGCACTCTGACTTTGAAGGAAGCCCCCAGTTAGACAACTACAACATGCTTTTTGGGGAGGAAGTGGCTCTATTCTTGTTTTCCTCACAACAGGGCTCCGGAACCCGCACAGGGAACATTAGAATATAGAATGTGATCTCTTGGACACTCACCCATGGCAAAGATGATGTTGGTTATTATTGAAGAGAGTTTCTATGATGTTGTCATTCCATTGTGTTCTTTGTATACCCAGTGCTCTATGTTATTTTTCTTTTTTGGTGTATGCCCTGTGTGGTATTGGAGCCACCATGTTTTAATGGCTAGACACTCACCTATGGATCTGAAGCTCGTGGGTTCAGTCCTGGCAGACCCGGACTGTTTTTTTCTTCTTCCAAAAATGACTTTGTCTCCCAGGTCAACCCAGCCTTAAATGGGCACCAGGTAAAGTCCTGGGAAGTAAAGGTGGCCGGCATGATGTTGACCACATCACCCAGCATGTGCAGATTGCTCTGTACAATAATAGGTCTAGCCCTGTGTGCCCAATACGCAAGGGTCCTTATTTACTGACTGACTTTACTGTTTGGTATGATGTCACAAGGCATTCTCTACCTCATTCCTGATCTTATCTATTCTGGTCACTCCTGCAGCCCTTCTCATTTCCAGAGTTACTAGTTTTCTTTCGTGGTGTGATGTGAGTGACCACATGTCTGGCACTTGAAGCATTGAGTGGGAAAGAATATGCTTTGGATGTGATGTTTCTTTGTGCTGATCATGATTATCTTATGCTGTTAAAAGGGGGGAAACTTTTTGCTACATACTTGGAAAAAAGCTGGTCTGTTCTGTATTCTGACCGCTGGACCCTGGATCCCTGGATCTCTGGACCCACACATGGAGTATTAGAGCTGTAGCGTATCGCTGTATTCTTGTAGACCATTCACTACATAGAGGGTTGTGTTTTCTTCTGGCTCCATCTACTTTCTGAAATATTTCTTAGTAGCTGTTTTAGACTGGGTCAGCAATAGAGCTGTGGTAAACTTTTCAAGTCATTGAGTGGTCTATGTATGGAGCTTTGACCATTACTCTGCTCTTCATCCGAAGGAAATAAAACATTAGAAACATTTTCTTAAAAGAATAACCACCGGAATTCACTTGTTTTGTTACTTAACCTGTTCATATTTTTTATATTGCAGGCATTGCATCTGAAGGAACTGAAAAAGTTGAAGCATTTTCACGAAAGAACAACCTCTAGCTTTCTGCATTTGAGACAGAAGAGGTAGGGTATATTACAATGTAAATATTTATTTCTGAACAAGTGAGGGAAATCTTAAATTAAACAGGTTAGTGCACTGGTACTCAACCTTCCTAATCCCAAGACCCTTTTATGCAGTTTCTCATGTTGTGGTGACATCCAACCATAAAATTATTTTGTTTCTACTTCATAACTTCAATGAATATATATTTTTTGTGGCAAGGTTGTTCAACTCCCAAAAGGACCCACAAGTTGAGAACCACTGGGTTAGACCAGTGTTTCCTGAACTTTTCTTAGTCGCAGCTTGTTTTTCAATTAAAATATTTCCACGGTGCCCTAACCTAAGTAAAAGTATGATTGTTGTAAAAAATATTAAAAAAAAAATTAAAAAAAAAAAGTCGTGCATCTTCAAATATTTTGTGGCGTCCCTGTGAAGAGGACGGGGCTCCCTGGAGCGCCGTGGCTTACAGTTTGTAAATCACTGCACTAGACTGTTGACAGTTGTTACTGAATAAATTAATACAGCGAGGAGTGATGAGGGGATCTGGCTGATACTCGGCACTCAGAGGAAGAGCAAGACGAACATATCACCAGACGGCTACTGATACCACTGGTAATGGAACCCTGAGCCGGCTGCTGAGAATGGGGATGAGCACTTATAGGAATCCCCAAGTGCTGTGATGTGAGTTCTTATATAACTGAACCCAGCCACTAAAATAGGGCTCTAGAATCCACACATGGAAAGAGGATTAGAACTGAAAATTTTTGTTTCAGGGAAGACTGCAGAATGACAGTCAGAACAAAACTCATTTATTTAACAATTTTTTTTATCTCCCTTTTTTTTAAACCATAATTTTATCATAATTGATATAACCATTTATTTTATCTTCAATTTTTAACCGTAATTTAACTTCATTTATTTAACCATTTATTTTAATCTTTATTTATTTAACTATTTATTTTATCTTCATTTATTTAACCATTTATTTTATCTTCCTTTATTTAACCATTAACTCATTTATTTATTTTAAATGTAACTGACAAGGACAGCGCTTTCCATGTGGTTTACGACATACCAAACAGACAACTGCTGAGAATGGCCGAAGCTTTAACAATTACAATCAACAACACCTTTTTGTATGCAGACGGAATTTATAGTGAATTTGAAGTTACCATGATAAGTGACATGACTACAGTGAACTTCTGGGGTCTAGACAAACACGATGCATTGAAATAAACCATTCGCATTCCAGTTGGATTTATTTGTGTGCTTACATTTATGTTGATGTAACTCTTTAGTGACTAACCTGACCAGATGCAACAAAATATGCCTGGCAATAAATTGTACAATGTATTGTTTGTGTCCACATTATTTAAAAGGGATTTATATTTCAGGGAACACTTTAACATGAAAAGTCAGCCAGATAAAATCCGATCTGTCTCCCAGTCTTTGGTACATTTGGTGGACGAGGTATGTGGGATCACTGTTCTTGTATTGTGGCTACTTCTGACTGGTAGCAGAATTCTGTCTGTCTGTCTGCTTTCTGTCTGGGTTTTTTTTTCTGCCTGTTACCTCTGTCTGTTGATCTATCCATAAATGTCATCAATCTATAAATGTCATCTATCCATTTATCAGTGTGTCCATCTGTATGTCTGTGTGTGTGCCCATGTGCCCTTGCATGCATGCGTGTGTGCATGCATGCATGCATGGGTGGGTGGGTGGGTCTGAGGTTATCTGTCCTTTTTTCTGTCTGTCCTCTCTTTCTGTTTATTTTAAAATGTCGTCTGTCCATAAATTTTATCTGTCTGTCTGTCAGTGCGCCCTCTGTATGTCTGTGTTTGTGTGTTCATGCATGTATGTAAATGTTTTTGGGTATATATATTTGTGTAAGTACTCTCCACCCCCCCCCCCCTCCCTCCAACCTCCCTTTTTCCCCTTAGCAGATGATACAACCATTAGAATATGCAGTGATAGACCATAATATGGGTATCGTCCAGCTCCCGTTATTATTAATCTTCAAGCAGTTATCTGGCACCCTTCCTTATGAGACAACGCCATTCTTTTGGTCACGTGAAGCCACAAAACGGTCACTTCCGGCTGGTGCCATTTACCTGCAAGAGCCACTTTCCTGACTCGCTGTAGCGGCAATGTGTAATTGTTTTTGGGTGTGCTTTTAAATTATTTTTGTTTATTTTTGATGACCTGTGTAAAATTGGTGTTTTTCTAAGGATTTTTGTCTTCGGAAATATACTGCACACAAACAAATTTGCCAGCTTGGCTTTGTTTTTTTTTTTATAGGTCATCAGAGTAATAGGGTTAACTAGCAGACAGCTGTGTTGGCAGCTGCCTGTCTTTGCTGACAATAGTGTTATTTTGTGTTTTGGGGAGGCATGCAAATCACAGCCCATAGTGACTGTGCACAGCTTATGGTGACTGTGAGCACAGCCTAATGTGACTGTGAGCACAGCCTATGGTGACTGAGCACAGCCTATGTTGACTGTGAACACAGCCTATAGTGACTGTAAGCACAGCCCATGGTGACTGTGAGCACAGCCTATGTTGACTCTGAGCACAGCCTATGGTGACTGTGAGCACAGCCTATGGTGACTGAGCACAGCCTATGTTGACTGTGAACACAGCCTATAGTGACTGTAAGCACAGCCCATGGTGACTGTGAGCACAGCCTATGTTGACTCTGAGCACAGCCTATGGTGACTGTGAGCACAGCCCATGGTGACTGTGAGCACAGCCTATGGTGACTGAGCACAGCCTATGTTGACTGTGAGCACAGCCTATAGAGACTGTGAGCACAGCCTTTGGTGACTGAGCACAGCCTATGTTGACTGTGAGCACAGCCTATGGTGACTGTGAGCACAGTCCATGGTGACTGTGAGCACAGTCCATGGTGACTGTGAGCACAGCCTATGGTGACTGTGAGCACAGCCTATGGTGACTGTGAGCACAGCCTATGGTGACTGAGCACAGTCCATGGTGACCGAGCACAGCCTATGGTAACTGTGAGCACAGTCCATGGTGACTGAGCACAGCCTATGGTGACTGGGAGCACAGCCTTTGGTGACTGTGAGCACAGCCTATGGTGACTGTGAGCAGAGCCCAAAGCCTGGGCAGTATTGAAGAAACCATGTGTTGTCTATGCGGCCTGATCCTTCAGTCAGTCTGCTTTGTTAATTCAAGAGGAAAGGTAACACCAATATGTTTAGAGCAAAGCAGGCTGCAGTAACTGCAGAGCCAGAAGAGCAGTGCTCTGTCCTTCCTAGACCAGCCGCCAAATGTTGAGTGTTGAATTAAGATTTGACATCACAGCACTCAGGTCACTCCCATAAACACTGCGTCCCCATCTTGCAGCAGCAAGCGAAGAGTTCCAGTTCTGATGGTGCCAGTAACTGTCTGATTGTACATCCGTCTTGTCTTTCCCTTGAGGTAACTCCCCGCAGCGCCATTCTCCTCAGACCGTAATGATCAATCTGTGCCTCCGCACAGTTCACTCGCTGCCAAAGGGCGCTAACAACATCTAGCTTGTCATACATCAGTTCACCACCAAGTGGTGCAGAACCAGCCAGTCTGTCTGCCTTTTCATTTCCCAACACACCGGAGACCAGCCACCAACGAGGGCTAAGTCTGCCCTGTCATAACATTAAGTTTTCAAGTTGTATGTCCTCTTCTTAGGATAAGACTAGTATCCTCCCCAATTGCTTCTCCGCAAAAAGTCATTAGCACTGATGGTATCTCAGGTTTGTTATTCACAACCCAACATTTGATGTGAACAGAAAAAACTAGTATACATGCTGCAGTAAGAAGAAGAAGGAAGAAAAATACAACTATTAGGTAAAATTGTTTGAACGAGGATTTTGTCAATAAAATTCTTCAACCATACACTCATTCGGGCAATTTATTTATGACTGTACACACTGTATTTTCACTGATTATACTGTTCAATGATTGTACATAATGTCTTTTTACTGATTGTACTGTCTACTTACTGTCATGATTATCGACTATTTCAGTTTCCATCATTTGTGATTAAGCTGCGAGAGATCATCGCTGCGCTGGATGATAAAGTTGCCTGGAAAGAATGGAAGTATCTTTTCAAAATGGCCACATCTAAAGTTGTAAGTTGGTTGCTAAGTTGGTTGCTAGGAGGCCGAGAGATAGTTAGTTAGTTAGCTGATGGAAAGATTGTCCTCATTGCATATCAGACCATAAGCGCTGGGATCCCATATTCATCTAGTGGCAACTGATAACACCAGTTCTGTGTTGGTTTGCTATTCTTCTTTGGCTACCTGTAAAGTGTTCCACAGCCAATCACAAATAACAACAACCCCTTTAAAAACAATTGGATGCATTTTGAATATTATCTCACTACAGATTACATGCCCCCTTAGAAAATAAAAGTTTCCTAAGAATACTGTTGATTTCCACAAAGATTGATTATATTTAGAATTATAACTGTTTCAAAATGTAGGCATACTTAGAGCACATTGTTACTAAGAGGTTGTTGCTGATGTCTACTATTATTATTATTATTATTATTATTATCATCAGCTAAAAGGATAATGCATGAATAATGTGTGCCAGCAGTGAAGTCAGAAGGGCAGAATAAATTTTGAGTGTTGCTATTTCATTGTCATCTCCTGATCATCTTCTCATCCTACCTCCTTGAAGGCATTGAGAATGTCGGCCCAGTCCGTTGCCAACAGGCTCATTTATTCCCTTTTAGCCCGTAGTGTTCTGGCACAAAAATGGAAACTAATTCCTACGCTTATTCCTGGCTATACTGGTCATACCTATAGTGTAGTGTTTTCTTACTTTAATTCATAAAGTTGATTAAGAATATAAACCTGCTCTTAAAAAACCTGTTATAAATGCACTAATTAAGATCATGGCGGCTTGATAACATAAGATTTTTTACCCTTTTTCTGCTCTTCTTAATTCATTTAAATTATGAAAAAAATCACGTTTTTTTACATAGTACATGCATATTTAGCCAAGCTGACAAATTGCAGTGAAGTTTGTAACATATTTTGGTAACTTAGCTTAAAACTAAATATTTTGCCAGTGACCAATCGCCGGTGAGTCACTTCTAGTTTTTCGAAAAGAAAATTTAATCAATAGTTTGGCCATCTAACAAGAATGCCCTGGCAGCAGGTACCATGGAGAGCAATGCTAAAAATATATAACGAGGGAAAAAAATCATGGAAGATCTGGAACGACACTATTTAGAGCAACCATTGGGATATGAAGATCAACCTAACACATCACATTAAAAGATCCTTACATCTTCCCCCCCCCAAGAGTTTTCTGAGCCAACTGGCGGAAGAAAAGAGGAACACATGTGTATATCATCATCATCTTCATCTTCTTTGGGTGTCTGGTCAAGATTAGACATTGATTTCTCTTACTGAGAAAACTGGAGAACAATATAACTAGATTGTCTTTGCATTAGAACCCACAGGGGCATAGGAAAAAAGAAAGGCCAAAAAATACATGAAGAGGGGAGCTGGAGAATGAAGTTAGAAGATGGGGAGAGCTGCATGCGATAGCAAAGGATAGAACCACTTGGCGTGAGTTGGTTGAGGGCCAATGCTCCACTGGGGCTAGAAAGGCAGAAGTAGAAGAAGATATCTCTCTAAGTCCTCTGATATTTTCAGAAACTTGGTGTTTACTTATTATTTACTGGTGCATGACTTTCTTAGGAAGGGAGGGAACAGTACATAAGAAGAATAGATGATAAATGTCTGAAAAGAAGGATGCAGTGGGATGTGACCATGGGATCTGGCAGACACTCATCACTCAAGAGAAAGACAAGATCGACCACAGTCAGACTGCTGCTGGTACAGTTGGAATCAGAACTATGCGCTGGCTGCTGAAGATGAGGACATATCATGTATGAGAATGTCCAGAATACAGTGATGCCATTTCTGATGTCAGCGCAGTGCAGCTTGTTATTTGTTGCTAAGCTATTGTGTCATCGTCATCAATTTCATTTTTTGCTGTTAAGTGTCCCAAAGAGGAACAGTCTGCGATCCGTCACCTGATGGGAAGCTCTGGCTATTGTCCTTCCTTGTGAATGTATGAAAGTGTTTAATATCCTCAGTAACCGTGGAAATGTGGTGTCTGAGAAAGACTGTAGGAGTGACCAGAAGAGATAAAATCAGGAATGAAGTCATACGAGATCAGCACAGACACCGATTCTAAAATTACATACAAAGACAGCAAATCAAATGGTTTGCCCACTTGGAGAGAATGCCTTTTAATGCTATATCATACAAGGCATACACCAAAAGAGGAGAGGAATTTACACTAAGAGGTAGACCAAGAACAAAATGGAAAGATCACATCAAAGAGACTCTACAGCACTACGATGTGTCTATGGTCGAAGAAGCCAGAAGAGCACAGAGCAGGACCGTATGTCTCCCTTGACACCCGAAGCGGTAAAAAAGGACCTAGAAAAGAAGAATGTCCTCAGCTGGCAGGATATTTATGTCCTAAATCAGTGATTCCAAAACTGTGCGCCATGGCGCCCTGGGGAGCTGCGACCTCTTCACAGGGGCGCCACGAAATATTCGAAAATGAGTTTTTTATTATTTTTTTTAAAATCTCTTACATACAAAAAGTCATACTTTTACTTAGGTTAGGGCGCCGTGGAAAACATTGTTAACTGAAAAAAGGTGCCGCGATTAAGACAAGTTTGGGAAACACTGTCCTAAATGCTTTAAATTTTGTTTGTGTCTCATTTGTTTCGATACACAGTCATGGGGCCTCGCCAAAGTTCAGTCGAGCCGCACATCCTTACAGCCAATGATCGATGAGATGTGCGATATCGTGCGCAGTGAGCAGTTTGTGGCCTCACTCATCACCTTGGGCTTAAAGTCACCTGCAGAAGCAAGCGGCCATACAACTTTAGGCAGGGACTCCTTTTTCAGTGCTGGAACCAGCAACAAGGCTGCAAGATATGCCCAGGTAGTAAACAGATTCTCTCATTTTCTTCTCCTTCTCTTCATTATTCTTCTCCCCTCTCATCACTTCTCCTTCTTCTCTTCATTATTCTTCTCCTTCTGCTTTTGCTTCTCATTCTTCCATTTATTTTTCTTCCTCCTTTCTTCCTTCTCCGTCACCTCTTCATTCTCCTTCTGATTTTGCTTCTTTTTCTTCCATTTTGTTTTCTTCACTTCTGTCCGTGGCTAAGGCGTTGTGAGTCCGACTCGTAATCCAACGTACCACGATCGAAACCCACTGTAGGCTGCGTGGATTTTTATCGTGGTATGGAACGTCGCAGGTCAAATCAGCCTCAAATGGGTACCAGGATGGCTGTCCTGGTGAAGTAAAGACGGCCGGCGTAATGCTGACCACATTACCCACTGAGTGCCGATTGGTCTGTAAAAAATATGGGACACTCTGCCCATATGCTCGATGCGCTGAAAGGCGTGAAAAGGGATCTTTACTTTACTTACTTCTTCTTTCACCTCATCTTGCTTCTGCTTCTCTTTCTTACATTTCTTTGCTTCTTTTCCTCCTTCTGCTCCTCCATTTTCCTTCTCCTCCTGTTTTTGCTTCTTTTTCTTCCATTTTCCTTTTTTCCTCTTCATTATTCTTCTTCTTCTGCTTTTGCTTCTCTTCCATTTATTTTTCTTCCTCCTTTCCCATTCTCCTTCACCTCTTCATTCTCCTTCTGATTTTGCTTCTTTTTCTTCCATTTAATTTTCTTCACTTCTTCCTTCACCTCCTCCTGCTTTTGATTCTCTTTCTTCTATTTCTTTGCTTACTCTTTTCCTCCTTCTGCTCCTTCACTTCATTCTCCTTATCTTTCTGCTTTTGCTTCTTTTTCTTCCATTTTCCTTTCTTCCTCTTCCACCTTTTTCTTCTTATTCAATCTTCCAAGCCCTGGAGGTTCTTTTCTGCAGATATCATTTGACTCCACTTATCATCTTCCTGTCCTGCACTTTATCCCCTATTGTAGCATTATTTGAAAGCTGTGGTAGCACATATCCCTACCAGTCCAGCAGTCATCAGTTTCAGTCTCCAAAAAGGCAGATGTTACACATTACCCTGTGTTCCCATGTTGACTCCTTCTCAAACTAAGTTTAAGGAAATGTTCTGGAAGTAAAATTGGCTGAGATTATTATATTGCTCTTATCTCATCACTCAACAGATGCCAGTTTGTCCTTACAAATACAGGTCTGACACCGTATACTCCAGGGCTGTTCAACAAAGTTAACTCGGGGGCCGAAATGTTGAAAATGGGGATTGTCATAGGCCCAAGCCCCAGCAAAGCAAGATCACTAATACAGTACAGTCGGCAATGATCCGCCTGCCACTTGCTAGGCCTCCACAAGTCAGATTTGACCCTCAAGCTGCCAGTTGAATAGCCCTGATTGACTGAGTACTCTTCAAGGTGCAAAAATGAGACTGTTGGGAATGCATTCGGTTGAAATCCATTGATTATAAAGTTTGTAAAATCTGTAGAGGAAATATTGGCCATCCTAAGACCAGTCCTAGCCACTTCATATGTAAGTAAAGAACCCTTTGCATACCAGTGGTTCTTCTGGCATATGGTGCCAAACTCCTAATTTTATAGGCCAGTTGGCACTTGATGTAGTCAGCTTCATGGCCACAACATTTACTTCTACGGACATTATCTGGTACTCATTTTAGGTGTAGTTGGGAACAAAGGTCACTTAAAGAAAAAAAATCTGACCTGATGCGGATTTGAGCCCAAGACCCTTGAGGAGGCCAGCATTGTTCACATGTGCTGTACTGAATTATGCTCTGGTTATATCCTAAAATGTCTCTGCACAGATGTAAAGTTCCGCTACTTATCGTGCCCACCGTTTTTGGTTTATGAGCTTGAAGAGGGGGACGGATATCTCTGTAATACAGTCACCTTAGATCAGGATCAGGAGAAAAATTAAATGCTGGTCTTCTCATTATATTTTAATTCTTAGCTTTTATCAGCTGTAAATTCTGGTGGAAAGTTCCCGTTGTTGGTCCACTTTTAGGTTTAGTCTTGTTCCAGAACTTGAATTTCGCGTGCACATTTGTTTTACACTTGAATGCAGACTGTGGGTGCCCCGCCTTTCAGGCTGTTGAGCTTCTACTTTGGAGGAAATATCCCTAATTAGTCATCTCCTGTTATTGTGGGTTCCGGGGCCCCGTGTGAAGAAAACAAGAATAGACCCACTGCCTCTCCAAAAGCATGTCAAAAGAGTAGACTAATTAGGAGATTCCTTCAAAGTCGGAGAACTTCTGCATGAGAGGCAAGGAATCAACAGTCTGCATGCAAATCAGTCTGATCTGTGAAACTCATATGCACGCAACACTTAGTTTCTGGAACACGACTAGAGTCCAGAAGCAGATGGACAACCAGAACCTTCCGCTGGAGTTTACAGCTGGTGAACGCGAAGAAGAAGAAGATCCCCAGTAGTGGTATCCAGGAACCTACCTGGAGATACACCAGTCTCACTTGATAGATGTATGCCTTTTTAAAAATTATTGTAATTTCAAAGAGACTCTGGTTGTTGAGAGGGTTTTCAGTCTTCTTTCTTTCATTTTTAAATTCTTTTTTTCTTTACTCTTTTCCTCTTCCTCCTTTTCCTATTTTTCTCTTCATTCTCCCTCTTCCTTTTCTGGCCTCTTCGTTTCCTTTTTCTCTTTTTTTCTGTATCACTGATTCCTCTTCATATATATTTTGTCCCCCTTCCATTTCTTCTTCTTTTTCTTCCCTGTTTACAGCAATAGTGACTGTACATTTCTCTTAGATTGTTAATTAACCACTAAGATATTCTTTCCGCCACAGCTGAGCTGTGTGGACTCATTGTGTGTCCCCCCAGCTGCGAGCAGCAGTGCTACTGCCAGAAGGGCCCTCGAACTGTTCAGACAGCGGGCAAAGACAGATATGACCTTTGAGGTGATCAGTTTACAAGGTAAGCCAAAAATAGGGCGATTAAAAAATAGGGCCATTATGAGGGCCCTTTGGGAATGAGTGAACAGTCTGAGGAGAATAGTGCTGCGAGGATTTACCAGGGGATGTGGCCGACGCTCAACACTCAGGGGAAGGACGAGATGGATATGCAATCAGACAGCTACTGGTGCCATCGGAATTGGAACTCTTCGCTAGCTGCTGAAGATGGGGGACGAAGCACTTATGGGAGTGGCCCGAGTGCCGTGATGTTGATTCTTAATTCAACATTCAGAAATGTGGCTACATGTTTGATTGCACATGTTTGGTCACATGACAGAATCTTCCTAGCATTCACAAGCTGTAAACTGTGTTAGAAAGTTCTGGTTGTTTGTCCATTCCTGGTTTAGTTCTAGAACTTGACATTTGCTTGCACATCCTTTTTACAAATCTGGCTTATTTGTGTGCAGACTCTTGGTTCCTGAACTCTCATGGGCAGATGCACTCTGACTTTGAGGAAATGCTCCTAATTTGTCACCTTGTGCAGCATACTTGTGGGAGAGCGGGAGATCCTACCCCCACCTTCCCAAATTTTTGTTGGGCTCTGGAGCCCACGCGGAGTATTATAGCTACCCTAAGTGGGACCATTTAAAAAAGCAGTCGTTTAGGCTAATACTACACAGCTAGACTGAGCCTTTATGTGTCTCAAACTGTTTACTGTTCATGTCACAACTTAATCAGTAAAAGCAGGTATAAGACCATACCACATAGACACTGGACTGTCCCAGCACTCGAATACTGACACATTCTACTGTAAATTGGCTGCTAATATAATAGACTGGTGAGATGATAGTTGTTACTGGCAGTAGATGCTATAAATTGGTTGATAATATGTCTGCTATAAATTGGCTGATAATATGTCTGTTATAAATTGGCTTATAATTTGTCTACTATAAATTGCTTGATAATATGTCTGTTACAAATTGGCTGATAATATGCCTGCTATAAATTAGCTGATAATATAGACAGGGGTGTGATTATAATTAAAACTGACAGTGTCTGCTATAGATTGACTGAGAGTCTGCTATGAACTGGCTGATGTTTGCTGTAAACTGGCTGAAAATATAGACGGGGGGTGATGATAATTAATACTGATATTTATTGTTATATATTTATTGCTTATTGAAAGAGCTTTTAATTTTAATTAAATACCAGTTTATTTAAGATGAATTGAAAATACAAAGAGTTATACTCTTTCTGTCTCTGTCTCTCTCTCTCTCATAAATGTTAACAGATGGTGGGGATATTATCATTGATCACACAGTGTCCGTCAACGAAGGCTGTGCTGGTCTCGGAGGTAAGGCCGTGGTCGGAGGGGATGGTCTTGCTGGGGGTCATGACCCCAGCATCGTAGAGACAGAGGATGTGGAGATACAGGAAATCAAAGCACATAGAGTCATTGTAGCAGCCCGCTGTGACTGGTTTCGCCGAGCACTGCTCAGTGGGATGAAGGAGTCCATTGATAGGTGAGCGTTCCGAGAAGAATTTGTTGCTGATTTTTCTGTTTTGGATCAGAATGAAGTAATGTAAAAGACCCTTTACCATGCCTTTAGGCATGCATTATTTTCTGTCCACTGTCATCTTGGTCTGCCTCATAGTCTACTCCCGTTCAGCTCTTTTTTTGTGTGCACAGTTTCTGTCTCTCTGTTATCTCTCATTCTCTCCATATGCCCCCACTATTGCAGACTATTATCCCTCATAAAAGGGACCTTTTTCTACACTTTCATTCATACTTTGTGTATAGGGCTAGACCTAAATTTGATAGACCAAACGGTACTAGGTGGATGATGTGGTCAGCATCATGCCGGCCACCTTTACTTCCCAAGACTGTACCTAGTACCCATTCAAGGCTGGGTCAACCTAGAAGCCAGTGTCATAAAAAAAAAAAAACCTAGCTCTGTTAGGACCCGAATACACAACCTTCGGATCTGCAGGCGAGCGTGTAGCTGCTACACCACGGTGGCTATCAAGTCCCAGCACAGAAAGATCATTACTACAACTGGCAATGATCCGCGGACCACTTGCTAAGACTTCGTGGGCCGCCAGTTGAATAGCCCTGCTGTAGGTATTAAGTACGTGATGAACCCTGTTCACACTATTGGCAGAACAGGCATTACAGTTCTAAACTGGAATATTTTAGACCAGTTGATGCTCATTGGAAGCCGCAGTAGTGTAATGGCTGGATGCTTGCCTGTTGGCTCCCTCACATATTTTCTAGGGAAGGGAGGCTCAAGGGGGCCCAAGCCTTGTGTAAGTGTGTAATAATAATATTATGCTGAATGCCAAATACATATAATAGTATATTTGTTGCAATATGAAATGTAAAAGTGAATACTTTAAAAGAGAACTTCTATGCCTGGTTATGTGTGTGTGTGTGTGTGCGTATGTGTAGGGGGGGATAAGTACTTAGCCCCTTTAAAAATTGTCTGTGGCGAACGATGGAGTTGAAATGAGTGATTAGGTGCCACAGATCTGAATGCAGATAGTCCTGTTTCCACAGCAGTAGTCTTGTTCCCACATCAGTAGTCTTGTTCCCACAGCAGTAGTCCTGTTTCCACAACAGTAGTCATGTTCCCACAACAGTAGTCTTGTTCCCACAACAGTGGTCATGTTCCCACAACAGTAATCTTGTTGCCACAACAGTAGTCTTATTCCCACAACAGTAGTCTTGTTCCCACAACAGTAGTCTTATTCCCACAACAGTAGTCTTGTTCCCACAACAGTAGTCATGTTCCCACTACAGTGGTCATGTTCCCACAACAGTGGTCATGTTCCCACAACAGTGGTCATGTTCCCACAACAGTGGTCATGTTCCCACAACAGTGGTCATGTTCCCACAACAGTAATCTTGTTCCCACAACAGTAGTCATGTTCCCACAACAGTAGTCATGTTCCCACAACAGTAGCCATGTTCCCACAACAGTAGTCATGTTCCCACAACAGTAGTCTTGTTCCCACAACAGTAGTCATGTTCCCACAACAGTAGTCTTGTCCCCACAACAGTGGTCTTGTTTCCACAACAGTAGTCTTGTCCCCACAACAGTAGTCATGTCCACACAACAGTAGTTTTGTTCCCACAACAGTAGTTATGTTCCCACAACAGTAGTCTTGTTCCCATAACAGTAGTCATGTTCCCACAACAGTAATCTTGTCCCCACAACAGTAGTCTTGTTCCCACAACAGTAGTCATGTTCCCACAACAGTAATCTTGTTCCCACAACAGTAATCTTGTTCCCACAACAGTAATCTTGTTCCCACAACAGTAATCTTGTTCCCACAACAGTAATCTTGTTCCCACAACAGTAGTCTTGTTCCCACAACAGTAGTCTTGTTCCCACAACAGTAATCTTGTTCCCACAACAGTAGTCTTGTTCCCACAACAGTAATCTTGTTCCCACAACAGTCTGATAACGTTGTTTGAATGTTCTATTTGTCCTGAAAGTTGGAGTATTTTTTCCATGTTAAACATCATGATGGCCTGGAAAGAACTGTTGGAAAGGGGGTTGGGGGGGTTTGGGGGAAGTTTCTGGAAAACGAACCAGAAGCAGACCTCTGTGAAGGTGGATACAAGACTTTGAAGACGCATTAGCTATCAAAGCACATAGGGCTTGAGAATTGGCTAGAGAAAGGGAGACTTTCAGACATGCTGTGACCCTGATTAATGATGGTGATGTTTTTATTTGACAGGAAAATTATTGTTCATGACACAAACCCAGAATTGTTCCAGCGCTTTCTGGAAGCTTTGTATTCAGGCCAGCTTGACACAAGTAGCCTCAACGCTGAACAGTTAGCTGACATGATGACCCTGTGTGACAGGTATGAGGTGAGTAGGACATGCTTGAGTTCCTTTATGTGTACGCATGTGTCCTAAGTCTGTATCTTCCTCATTTTGTCTGTCTGCATCTTCAGTTTGTGAGCATCGTCTTGAACCTGTCTGTTTGCTTAAATTATGAGCCTGCTGCTCAGTTTTGTCTGTCTGCTCCTGAATCTGTCTATGTCTCAGTTTTTCTCAACTTCAGTTTGTTTCTTAGTTGTCTTCTGCCTCTCAATTTGTCTTTCTGTCTCAGTTTGTCTTGATTTCACTTTGTCTGTCTACTTTTCACTTTACCCATTTACTCCAGTTCCTCCATCTACTCCTCAGTGTGTTTCCCTCTTACTTTGACCATCTGCTACTCAGTTTGTCTACTCCAGTTTGTCTGTCTACTCCTTAGTTTGTCTGCTGCTCAGCTTGTCTGCTTACTCTTCCATTTGTGCATCTAGTTCTCAGTTTACCTTTCTACTCCAGTTTGTCTGCCTCTCCTCTGCCTGTTTACGCCTCAATCTGTCCATTTACTTCTCAGTATGTCCGTCTACTCCTCATTTTATCCATCTACATTTTCTTATATGAACTTCTTCCGAGCTTGTCTACCCTTTGTGTGTGCGCTTTAAGTATGTGAAAAGACGTTATCAAATGTCATGTCAGCTGGCGTTAGTGATCATGCTTCTCCACATCTTCCCTGCTCTAACAGCATGTGTCAGTTCATATTCAGGCACCTTTTCCTGCCACAACAACATAATTTCTTACACTTTATTATCCTGTTCTGTCTGGACTTCATACTGCTTCATAACTGTGGGTGCTCAAATTACGGTTGAACAGGTTTTTGGGATTTGTACCCGGCGATTCTCATCCGAATATTGGCTCTTTGGGTAACTGGGTGTTAATTATTTGGTTGAAAGAAAGTTGAATTTAGAATTGATGTCATAGCACTCGGGACACTCCCATGAGCACTCTGTCCCATCTTCAGCAGCAAGTGAAGAGTTCCAGTCTGTCTGATTATATATCCGTCTCGCCTTTCCCTTGAGTGTCGAGCGTCCACCAGATCCTCTTTAATCACTGAGTGTGCGGACCTAGTGTTGTTTACGTTCCCCCTCACATCTTCCCCTGTCTCTCTTTCGTACATTTCTATACATATAGACTCCTTTTGCGGGTTCTTGGGTTTCAGTTTTGGTAGAAAGAAAAAAGAATAGATTTTCCAACTCCTTACTAACAAGATTTTGGTGAAATTATATATTTTTGGCCAAGAGGCACAGATGTTGCAGCCTGGCTGTAAACCACAACACTATGTGGCAGCCTCCCTATTAAGGGTGAGAAGTAAAAGAAGAATATATATATATATATAAAGTATACAAGTGCGTGAATTAAAATAAATGCGTTTTCTAGATGGATAATTCCAAGCAAGTGTGTGAATGATAATAAATATGTTTTCTAGATGGATAATTTCAAGCAAGTGTGTGAATGATAATAAATATGTTTTCTAGATGGATAATTTCAAGCAAGTGTGTGAGCATGAACTGAAGTCTCACCTGGATGAGGACAACGCTTTGTGCCTTCTGAATTTGGCAGATCATCTCAATAGCCGGTTCTTGAGGGTAAGTAGTAAACCCGATGTGTTACAGAATGAGGTTCAGATTCCTTGGGATACTTATGGACCTTCTTGGTGAAATGGTCAAGTCATTAGCCTTGCATTGTGAACATTGTGGGGTTCAGTTCACTTTTGCAGTTTTTACAGAGATCTGGGATCATCGTTGGAGCTACAGGGTTCCTACTGTGTGACACTGTATGCAGGCAGCTAGCCATTCTGCAGAGAGAGACTGAGCCATATGGAATAAAACCCTGTACAATGAAGTCAGTACTTGACTTAAAGGCTGTCTGATCAAGGAGTTTTTCTTCTTCACTTCACACAAACAATACATTGCACAGTTTATTGCCAGGTATATTTCGCTGTATCTCGTCAGGTGCGTAACTACAGAGTTACATCAGCAAAAAATGAAGCACACAAAAAAACTGAATAAATCCAACTTAAACGTGAATAGTTTCTTTCGACACATCGTGGTTTGTCTAGTCATGGAAGTTCACCATAGACATGTCACTTACCAGGGTAATTTCAGATTACTATAAATTCCATCTGCTTACAAAGGAGGGAGTTGTTGACTTTAATTGTTTAAGCTTTGTCCATTCTTAGCAGTCACCTGTTCGGTATGTGATAAACCACACGGAAAGCACTGTCCTTGTCAATTACGTGTTCGGAATTAAGCAAATGACGTCCTGTAGAAGAAGTGGGTTCTTTCTTCTTGACTGGTCTTGACACCTTTGAAGAATCAATCCCTGAATACTTTCTTCACTTTTACTAATTTCCTCAGATCTTGGTACTGATCTTATTTGTACTCTAAAATGTTTTATGTTATGTTATCAAAAACCATAACCATTGCACATTAGGCGTTCTCATGCACGCTCAGTCATCTTTTGCAGCAGCCACTCAGGGTTACCTCTGCTTATTTTTCTCATGAGAAGTTGGTTTAGTGTTTCCTGTCTTGGCCATGAGGACGGTGTAGATGTGCTTCACCAAGCTTTACTCCCAGGTCACGCAACCGTGTTAACGTCAGAGGTTTATCACCATCTGCCACCCTAGTCCGTACAGCATTGGTGATATCAGCTCTATACTTTCATCCTGTATGCATTGGTGCATTACTCCATCATGCCCAGCTGCATAGATCCAGGTGATGGTGGCTGTCTGTGACTTTCCAATGCTTTCTACTCATTTAGAGCTTAAACTACCTGCTGCAATTTTCTGAAGCATGTTCATGGAGTCTGAAACAATTACTGCATGTGCCCATGCTGACCTTGACCCAAGCCTTATGGACCCATTTGTTTAGACAATAAAATACAATTCTGAGGAGCAAGTGGATCATTACGGTCTGGTGAGAGTGATGCAGCGGGGAATTACGTGGGGTTCTGGCCCATACTCTACACTCTGAGGAAGGATAAGACAGACGTATATTAAGAGTGCTACTGTCACCATTGGTATAGGAACTCTGAGCTGGCTGCTGAAAATGCGGACAGAGCACTTATGGCAATGCCCCAAGGGCTTTGATGTCAGCTCATCAAACAACTCAACTGGGCATCGGTGCTGATCTGTCATTGCCCATATCTCACTGTCTACTGTGGCAGGTATTGGATTTCAGCAGTACCTCCACGGTGTTGGGACAACCTTAGACACGTCATGCATGTCTGCTGGTGTAAATGTCCCCATCTTTTCCGTGACTGATCTCATCTAGGTCACATACCTGCTGCGTCAGTAGGTCTTCACTTCTGTGGGTTTCTTCATAGCATTGCTTCCTCTATTGCATCGTCATCTCCTCACTCAGTGCTTGTTACACTTCTTCAAAGTGGCTCACTGTGGTAGTTTGTACCAGAGCATTCTTGCCAGGGGGTGGACCATTTTCACACGTTTCGCCCAGCAAGCACATGGTGCTACGGCTACTTTTATACATTTGCACAGCCCACTCGGCACTCATTGGCTGCTTTTACTTCCCAGGACATTACCTGGTAACTATTTTAAGCTGTGTTGACCTAAGAGCTAGTGTCACTTGGGGGGGGGGGGGGAAATCTGCCCTGATGTGGTTTTGAAGTTGAGACCTTCGGACCAGCAGGCGTAGATCTAGCCGCTATGCTACTGCAGCTTGCCTCATCAGATTGGCAACCATTTACATATTTTTCCCATGTGTAAGACGCCCCTATGTATAAGATGCCCCCGTGTATGAGAGACCCGCATGTATAAGACACCCCCCATGTATAAGGCACCCTGTGAATAAGACACATCCGTGTATAAAACACCCCCATGTATAAATCACCCCTTGGCATAAGACATCCCGAGTATAAAATGCCCCCCTGTATAAGACTCCCCCTCCCCCTTCCTTATATTTACAATGCCTATGTATAAGACCCCCCCCCCCCCCCCGTATAAGATTCCCCTGTGCATAAGACACCCCATGTCTTAGATCACCCCCGTGTACAAGATACCCCCCGTGTATAAGACGGGGTGCTTACAGTCGCCCACTTATTAGCTGTAGTAAGACAGCGCTCTCATGTAGCAGACCAGGTTTGGAATCCTGGGTTAGTTTGGGGATTTTTTCTGTCAAGGGCAAAAATAAAATCTTAACCTGCTCTGTCTCAGGCTCAAAGACTACCCTGCCTACACACTGAAAGTGGTAATTGCAGGCAATAAGGGCAGTTAGTTGTAAGAGTTGATGTTTGACACTTGTAATATCTAGCTTTCCCCTGTTGGCACACAAGCAGACACCCCTGAGACTTAAAGTGAATCTTATCAGAACTATTTTTTGGCCAAATCTATGCTATCAGTAACAAACATAGACACTTACATCCTCTAATGAACGTAAAATTGTGACAACAGAGATGAAATGCTTTAAATGAGCTGCAGGAGTTTAAGGGAGAGACAGAAATTAAAATCACGAAATCAGACAAATGCTAGGAATAAAGCTGATCTTACAAGTCACCAAAGAACAACAAATAAAGGGGTTTGGACACCTAACAAGAATGCCCTAGTACTATCTACCACAGCCAGCCACACTAAAACGTTACAACGGGTATAGAGCGAGTGGAAGACCTAGGAAAATATGGAGTGATGGCGTTAAGAACAGCCTTACAGAAATGAACATTGGCATCAAGAACAACCTGACAGAAATGAACATTGGCATCAAGAACAGCCTTACAGAAATGAACATCAGTCTTAATAAGGCACTTGACAGCTCATCAGGGAATGTCACATCTCCCCCCGACACTTCGCTGAGGTACGAGGTGAAAGAGAAGAAAAGAGATGAAGAATATTAAACAGCACAATTTTTCCCCCCTCTCAAATAATGTTTCCTTTGAAATCAGTGTGCATCTGCCTGAGAGACTAGGAACCAACAGTCTGCGCACAAATAAGGTGGGTCTGTAAAACAGATGCGAAAAACTCAAATTCCGGATGAAGACCAAAGTCCAGGAATGGACGAAGAGCCAGAACTTTCCGTCACAGTTTGCTGTTGGTGAAGACTGACAAGAAGAAGAGAATGAAATGTAAGTACAAACTCTGAGCCCAGTGTGGCGTATAATGGCACTACATGATGATGATTCTGATGAAAACGATGATGGTGGTGGTGACAACAATAGTGTTGGTGATGACGACGATAGTGTTGGTGGTGATGACGTCGATGATGATGATGATGATGAGGATGTTGATAAAAATGATGATGATAGTGGTGGTGATGAGGATGGTTATGATAATGATAGTGGTGATGATGATGACAATAGGGATGATGATGACAATAATGATGAGGATGATGACATTAGGATGATTATTTCAGGATTCTGCTCTGAGCTATGTAGTTGAGCATCCGAATGTGACCTTCAGTGATCTGTTTGAGGAGCTGCCGGAGCGTCTCAAGGAGGAAGTTCAGGATGCCATAGTGTGGCAAGGGTCAGTCTGTGCTCGCCTGTCCTGTTGTGTTGTTATGCTCAGCCTCATTGCACATTAGTCATTTCCATCAAATGTTAATATTTCTTCTTCATCTTCTTCCTCCTCTTCTTTTTCTTCCTCCTCCACTTCTTCCTCTTCCTTCTTCTCCACTTATTCTTCCTCCTCCTCCTCCACTTCTTTCTCCTCCTTCTCTTCTCCTCCCTCTTCTCTCTCCTCCTTCTATTTCTGCTTTATCTCCTCCTCCTCTTCTTCTTCTACTTCTTCTCCTCCTTTTCTTCCACTTCTTCCTATTCCTCCTCTTCTCCTCGTTCTTTCTCCTCCTTCTTCTATTTCTGCTTTATCTCCTCCTTCTCTTCTTCTACTTCTTCTTTTTCTTCCTACTCCTCCTCTTCTCCTCCCTCTTTTTTCTCCTCCTTCTTCTATTTCTGCTTCATCTCCTCCTCCTCTTCTTCTACTTCTTCTCCCTATCATTCTCCTCCTCTTCTACTTCTTCTTCTTTCTTCCTACTCCTCTTCTCCTCCCTCTTCTTTCTCCTCCTTCTTCTATTTCTGCTATATCTCTTCCTCCTCTTCTTCTACTTCTTCTCCCTCCTCCTTCTCCCCCTCTTCTTCTACTACTTCTTCTTCCTACTTCTTCTACTTCTTTTCCCTCCTCCTTCTCCTCTTCTTCTTCTTCTTCTTCTTCTTCTTCCTCTTCTTCTTCCTACTCCTCCTCTTCTTTGTCCTCCTTCTTCTATTTCTGCTTCTCTTCTTCCTCCTCTTCTTTTTCTTCCTACTCCTCCTCTTCTCCTCCCTCTTTTTTCTCCTCCTCCTTCTATTTCTGCTTCATCTCCTCCTCTTCTTCTACTTCTTTTCCCTCCTCCTTCTCCTCTTCTTCTTCCTCTTCTTCTTCTTACTCCTTCTCTTCTTCTCCCTCTTCTTTCTCCTCCTTCTTCTATTTCTGCTTCTCTTCCTCTTCTACTTCTTCTTCTTCCTCCTCTTCTTTTTCTTCCTACTCCTCCTCTTCTCCTCCCTCTTCTTTCTCCTCCTTCTTCTATTTCTGCTTCATCTCCTCCTCCTCCTCTTCTTCTACTTCTTCTCCCTCCTCCTTCTCCTCCTCTTCTTTTATTTCTTCTTCTTCCTACTCCTCCTCTTCTCCTCCCTCTTCTTTCTCCATCTTCTATTTCTGCTTCATCTTCTCCTCCTCTTCTTCTACTTCTTCTTCCTCCTCCTTCTCCTCCTCTTCTACTTATTCTTCTCCTTCTTCTTTTTCCTACTCCTCCTCTTCTCCTCCCTCTTCTTTCTCCTCCTTCTTCTATTTCTGCTTCTCCTCCATATGTTTTTTAAAATGTTTGTGTTACCTACACATGCAGACACGCATGCGTACACTCCCCCACCCCCCCCCCCCCCCAACCCACCAACCTCTTTTAATTTTGAATGCATTTAACTTTAATTCAGTGCCCATGCACAGCTAAAAATACAATACATTTATAACATTTATTTGTACATTTTCACGTGGACTTGGACTGGTCTCTGAGTACTGAGATCAGATGCCCGTGTGCATCGTTGTGCAAGGAAAAAATCCCTTGGCAGTTGGAAATCGAAAAGAGTAGCCTAACAGCACTGCCCGGGCAAAATTTTGAGTTGAAAATCTCCCCAAAGTTTTTCAATATACTCGCTGGTGCTACAGAGCCTGTGCACTGTGCTGAGCTTCTTCGGACTCAGACTTGAATTAGAAGAAGAGCGGAGCACTTATGGGTTACTACTCATGTGCAATGATGTTGATCCATTGTTTAAACCTCAAACGCCAGTAATTAGTGGTGGTTTCAACAGATTATGAATTTTGTTGCAGGTTGGAACAAAAGAAAGTGTCCACAAAAGGCCACCTGCTTCAGCCGTCCAGTTCCATGTCCAGTCTGAGTGACATCAATGAGCTGATTGACAACATTGATATTTCTCATGACAGGGTAAGTGCCATTCATGGGTCATTTAGTATGATGAACACATTAACATGTCTTGATTGACACTGGTAGAAAGAAGTAGAGATAGAGGGACACATGATACAACACTAAAATCGAAACCTATTAGGAGCATTAATGTGAAACCTTTAAAGGTAAAAGTAAAGTTGGGAGATGTGAACTAGCGTCATTGCACACGGTTATAAACCATAAGTGCTCTGCCACCAGTACAGACAGCTGATAAGAATTGTCCCCCTGTGTTGCCGTTTGCACGTAACTCTGTAGCTACAGCGACGTTCCTCCATTTACCCCAGAGTGTCAACTCTGCTACCCATTTTCTAGAGGCTGGGAGAACCCTGGGAACCGCCTGGTTTTGAACACCGACATTGGCTGCAGCAAGTTGCAGCTGGATTTGAAAGCGAGCCTCTTATTGACTACACTAACGCGGCTCCGTTTGAAACCTTTGCAATGGCTTTATTGCAAAGGCCTGAAAGAAACATCAGCAGTTGTAGCATAAGTCTTCCTGTTCTTTGCATTCACCAGCAGTAAACTCCAGCAGAAAGTTCTAGTCCTGTTCCAGAACATGAGTTTTGCATACACATCTCTTTTATAGATCTGGCTTATTTATGTGCAGACTACTGGTTTCTGGCATCTCATGCAGATGCACTCTGAAGAAAATAACCCTAATTAGTTGTCTTTTACAATATGCTTGGGGGGGGGGGGGGGGTCTATTCTTTTTCTATCAAAATGGGGAACTGGAACCACACAGGAATGTGGCATAATTTAAAATAGCACCATCCCATCGCTTATGCAGACGGTGAATGCCATCCACACACAAAAAGGATTCTGACTGCTCACTGAACCAAGTTTTTACTGCGTCCTCCTTTTGGTGCAGCATCTGTGGTAACCACTGGGAAGCCACCTTCCAATCTTGCACTTTCTCACGAATAGGCTTTGAAACTGTCACGATTGACACATCAGATTGTTTTGTTAGTGAATGAATGCTTCCACATTGGTTCACTTGTATTGCTTCATTAGCTTTGGTGATGGTTTTTCTGTTATCCAGTCTGTCACTGATGTCTTAGACAGACCTCTCTGAGAACAGAACTTGATATTCTATTGCTCTCCCTTAACCTTAACTTGATCCCTACTGTCCTCTCTTGACCTCCTTGTGGACAGTACTTGATCTCTACTGTCCTCTCTTGACCTCTCTCTGTACAGAATTCGATCTATGTTTATCTCACTCAACCTTAATTTGAGCTGTTCTGCTTTCTTTTGACCTCTCTGTCTACAGAACTTGATCTCAACTGCTTGTTCTGTACACAACTTGATCTCTGCTACTGTCTCTCTGTTCCTCTCTTCAAGGTCTGTAGGATTCTTTGTGTGTGTGTGTGTGTGTGTGTGCGTGCATGCGTGCATGTGTGTCTCTCTTTCCCTCAACTTTCTTTCTCTCTCAGTTAATAACTCCATTGCTGCCATTCTTTCTATCTCTCATTGAAGGATTTGACCATGTCCACTTCAAGTTCTTCTGATGACCTGCCTTATGCTGAAGACACAGCACGCTTGGAATCATGTGTCCAAGAACTCACAGATATCGTTGGAGATACAGTTTCTCGGGACGAACTGACCAGAGTTGTCCTTGCTGCTGATTATGATGTCAACAGGGCCTTGAACTTCATTTTTACGTCTTAGCATGAGTTCTGTTTTTAGTTTCAAAGTTTGATTTTGTGTTTGCATGTTCATATTTATTGGTTCTTGGCCTTGAGTTGGGATATTCATATCATACTAAACACATACATATCTACCTGCCCCATTTAGTCGCCAGATTATTCTTTCAGCCATATTTCTAGCTACCCAAAAGGCATACTTATATCCAGGCTAATTTGTGCCATCTTAGCAATCATCTATCACCCAAAAATAACAATAAATGATAAAGAAGTTGAAAATTTCATACATTTTCTATAGCTAACCTCCATAATAAACAGAAATGGACACTATTCGATAGAAGTCAAAATGAGGATGGCCATAGCATGGCGCAGATTAAACAGCATTACAGAAACAGATTGGAAAACCAACACTGGTTATAACTACCGAAAAGATTTTCTGAAACACTTGAACAGAACAGACCAAGTCACAGTTTTTCGCTTACGCACTGGACACTGCAGACTCAATAAACACTCACATAAATTAGGTATGAGCCAAACAGCTCTCTGCCAGTGTCTTCGTGCTGAACAGACTCCAGAACATGTCCTGCAAGACTGTCCTCTCCTGGCGGAGCTGCGGAGCGACATATGGCAACACCCAGTAGAACTGACAACTAAGCTTTGGGGAAACCTAAGAGACCTTGAAAAGACATCCCAGTTTACGACCCACAGTGGATTATGCGCATGACCAGAGATCGCTGAAGAAACAGCATTAAAAGTCTACGGTCAGTCGCCAGCAAAGGAAATCAGGGTCATCATTTTGAGAGCATTCATCTTCCCTGTAGCAACATGCTGATGTGAGTTATGGACTGTCTTGCAATCATTAAGAAATAAAATAGGAGCTTTTTGAACTGAATTGCTATAGAAATATTTTCATAATACAATGGACGAAGCAGAAGAGAAAACTGACATCTTAACAGATCTGAACATCAAGAATGATTGGCTAGCAAACAGCATCTTGTCCCGGAAACTGAAATATTTTGGCCATATCAAGCGCCACGCTGGATTGGGAAACATAGTAGAAGAAGGCATGATACCACGAAAGAGTGGCCGACCAGAGCGAAGATGGGTACGTGATATAAGTGACACCTTAGGTAGAAAAAGGCACCAGGCGGTAGAGCTGGCGGGAGACAAGAGTTTGTTTCTGGCTAGCTTTGATGAGATGAGAGCGACCTTCTTCAAAGGACCTGCTACATGATGATGATGATCTCCCTAGTGGAGGCTGCAGTTGATTCACTGCTGTCTTTTGGAATATTGAACGGGGAGGCTGCAGTCTCTCCCACAGTGCAACTCATCACACCACAAAGCCATGTAAAAAGTCAAAAGAATACTGCTGTAAAGAATGTCAGCCATCTTTTGAATTACCCGTGACTGCTTCTTGAATGGACACGGAAAAGAAGAAATTCTGAACATCAAGAAATTTTGGCTAATAAACATCATCTTGTCTTGGAACTGAAATATTTAGTCATATTAAGTGCCACGGTGGATTGGAAAAAATATCAGCAGAAGGCATGGTACCAAGGAGGAGGAGCAGGGGCCAACCAGCACAATGATGGGCACAGGATATAAGTAACACTTTGAATATGAAAGTACACGAGGCGGGAGAGCTGGCGAGACACAGAGTTTCTTTCACGATGAGAGCGAGGTAACTTGTATTATCTCTTTCATGAGTGTAGATAACATTCCCTAGAGCATCTCATCGCAAGATCTTGCACATGGTAATTACAGTAATGTATAACTTGTGGACATTAATTTAGTATTACTAATAATTAATTCACTTTACTATTACTAACTATAAATTAGTGTGAAGGTAACAAGGATGGGAGGTGGCAATTGTTGGTTAATTCACCTGTTGTGTTTTCCTGTGCTGAAGATCCAGTAATTTCCTTAGCATTAATGATCCATTAACTTTAGTATTACTAATTACAAGTTAATGAAAAAGTGGTTTTAATAAAAATTGGTGGTGGATATGAAAGTGAAGAGGGCATTAATGAATCAAGGTGTGTGTGGGCGGGTGTTTTAGGGAGGGGGGTAGTCAGAGTCAAGAGATGGTGTCACTCAAGAGAAAGGAGATCTGGCCCACAGGAGTGGTCCTTGAGACCAACTGTGAAAGCACCAGTGAAGACCACAATTGCCCTATTTGAAACCTGTGCTGACAGATGCATATGTAATGTTGATTGCTGAAGTTGTATGGGATACATCCTGTGAGGGTGGGCTGAATGGTATCGAGGCATGGCGTCCGCCTCAAGTGCTGGAGCCCCCAGGGATGGCTGGGATTTGTTCGCTCTTTCTAGTAATTTCCCCTGGTCTCTGGGTAGTGAGATCGGACGCCTGTGTGTATTGTTGCCCACGTAAAAAAAATCCCCTGGCAGTTGGAAATTGAAAAGAGTAGCCTAACGGCGCTGCCCGGGCAAAATTTGGAGGTTAAAATCTACCCAAAATATTTCAGGATCCTAGCCGGTGCTACGGAATTCGTGCACTGCGCTGATATTCTTTGGACTATAGATTTAAGTTTGAAGAAGAGCGGAGCACTTTTGGGTTACCACCTGTGTGCCATGATGTTGATCCGTTGTTTAAACAGAAACAGAAACATCACATGAGTGATAAGTAAATGTCTTTGCCTCAAGACATAGCACTACACTGTTGAAAATTGAGTTGGGTTGAGTTAAAAATGGACATTATAGCACTCGGGACATTTCCACAAGTGCTCCGTCCTCATCTTCTGCAGCAGTTAACAGAGTTGGAATTCCGGTGGTACCAGAAATACCTGATTGTATTTCTGTCCTGTCTTTCTCCTGAGTTTTGAATTAATCAAGTAACAGAAGGTATTGTGAACGGCACTCATAGAAAGAAGTAGAAAGATAGATGAACACACTAGACAACATAAAAATCGAAAGCTATAGTTACCGTGCCGGGAATTGAATCTGTCACCTCCAGACGGCGTCTGCGCCTCGCCATGAATACAAGTGCACTAAGATACATGGTCAACTAGGCACCCCCAAAAAAAGGTGTCTTTTGAAATGAATTCTGTTCGTATTCCATAGTCGTGGATTTCAAGCTGTACGATAGACATGGCCAATGAGACACCTTTTTTTGGGGGTGCCTAGTTGACTATGTATCTTAGTGCACTTGTATTCATGGTGAGGCGCAGACGCCGTCTGGAGGTGACAGGTTCAATTCCCGGCACGGTAACTATAGCTTTCGATTTTTATGTTGTCTAGTGTGTTTTCATCTATCTTTCTACTTCTTTCTATGAGTGCCGTTCACAATACTTTCTGTTACTTGATTAATTCATAATATTTAAAGGCCTCAAATGGTTCCCCCCTCTGTTTATCCTAAGTTTTGAGCGTGGACCAGATCCCTTGGCCACTCATAGCCACACCAATCTCTTCATAGCTTGATGATCTGCTTGTGCCTCCACACTGTTCACTCCAAATAACCCTGACAATATCTGCCTTGCCATGCAACATTTGACAACCAAGTGGGGGCAGTACCACCCAATCTGTCTGCCTGTTTATTACCCATCACACCTGCCTGCCCTGGAGAAGATATCCAAAGGAAATTGGGAATTTAAACGGTACTCTTTGACTAATGCTGCAGTGGCATAATGGTATGTGATCTTGCCTTCTCACACAGGGTCTAGTGTCAGTTCTTCAGAGTGACTGGATTCTTCTCTCACCATTGCAGCAGCTCTGAATGTCTAAGAAAATAAATGAACATTAAATGTGATGAATTCAAGGAAGGCACAGAAATAAGATAAGTTTCTGAAACCGCTGATATCAACAGTTATAAAACTGTTTCTTTGGGGCCTGTCCACATGGACACAGTTCTGACACACCCAATCTTCATTTAGTCCTAAATGTGGCTGCGGAATCTGCTGCGTCCATTTTGGTCTGGAATGTTTCTTTATTTCAAAATGGGGTAGCTGAGACTGATATTTAATCATTTCCGGTGATGATAGTTGATCTGTAATTTGTATAAATGAGGCTGTCTGATTAGATTAAAAAAAAAATTTTTCTCTAAATGTGTGGTTTTTCATTTAAATGTTTGAATTATAAAGAAATGATAATATAAGGAAATTAATGCATGCTAAACTTGCTGTTACAAATGTTAATTAGTGATTGATTCATTGTTACAGTTACTTAGATTGACAAAATGAATGATTGATTCATTGTTACAATTACTTAGATTGATAAAATGAATGATTGACTAATTGTTACAATTACTTAGATTGATAAAATGAATGATTGATTCATTGTTACAATTACATAGATTAATGATGCATGATTGACCCATTGTCACAGTTTCATAGTTTGACGATTGATTTATTCATTGTTACAGTTAATTAGATTGATGAGTGATTGATTCATTGTTACAGCTCAATAGATTAATGAGTGATTGATTCATTGTCACAAGAAATGTCTGGGCGACTTCTTTTCTTAACATTTATGTAGTTTTGTTGATTCATTCATTTGCATCCTTGCTGTAAGCCACAACACAACATGCCAACCACCCTTTTAGGGGTGAACGAAGAAAGAGTAAAGTTAGAGGAATAAATGGATTAGGGAATCTGTGATGAATAGTAGGTAGATAGATAGAAAGATGAACGGAATATCAATAGATAGATAGACCCCTGTGTGGGTTCTAGGGCCCTATTTTAGGGAAAACAAGAATAGACCCACTGCCTGCCCAAAAGCATGTCGTAAGAGTCGACTAATTGGGAGCTTCTTTCGAAGTCACAGTGCATCTGCCTGAGAGGCAAGGAACCAACAGTCTACACTCAGTTGTGTCAGATCTGTCAAACGGGTGCACACGCAACACTCAGGTTCTGGAACTGGACTGCAGTCCAAAAGTGGACCAACAACCAGAACTTTCCACCAGAGTTTACAGCTGGTGAACGCAAAGAAGAAGAAGATAGATAGAAGGAATAAAAGGAGAAAAAAAAAGAGCAACTGAGTTTTGCATATTACTATGAATTACTTAACCCTG